GAATTTCCAAACTTTTCTTTAACTTCCTATGAAAATTCATGCTCTACTACTGAATATACTTTTTAATTTTTGAACAATAAGAAACATTGAACCTACCAAGTTCAATTGGAAAACTATGACAGTGCATTAGTCTTCTATAGGCATTATATAATATAGGCTGACAAATCCAGTGGCTGAGAAAAAGAAATCTATGAACTTACAATTCCATCAGTCAGAAGTGCTTGGTAGGTCTTACTGGGCTCAAACTAAGGTGGCAATGGGCATATCTGCTGCACAAGGCCTCTTTTGAGTTTTGAAAAGCAAGGACCCTTACCATCCAATGTGTCTGCCCTCTTCTGAGCCCAACTACCAAGCTACTCCTACTCCCCTGGGTTGGCCACAAATCGCTAAAGAGCAATGGCATACTGGGTAAGCATTAGGCTGTAATCCATAACCCAGGGCCCGGAATTTTAAGCCACCAGGCGCTGCAGAGGCCAGGACAAAGACGGGCTTTCTAGTACAGTCAAGAGTCTCAGTCTAAGAAAACATTTGATCAGGTAATACCACTGTAGCAAACACAACTACAAAGGACAACCAAACTTTATTATGACTACTTTAAAAAAATTGTTTCAAAGAGAAATCTTTAAATAAAAATTTGTGGACCGTAATAGATGACATGACAAACATACAATGATGACTGAAGATTCTACCAGCATTAAAAAATTAACACTCGAAGTTGAAGACCGGTGTGGCATATGCTACAAATTCAATTATCTCAGGAAAATACTGAAAGAGGGAAAAATATGAAAACACTACACAAAATCCACATTATATACCTATACATAAATCTAAGTAGATAATCTAAGGATTATCTATTATGGTCCTAATGGATATCTTCTTAAAAGCTGAAACTTTTAATTTTGATGAAGTCCTAGTTCTTTTTCTTTTGACTTATGGTTTTTGGGCTGCATGAAATTTTTGCCTGGCTCCAGGGATTTTTCCTTAATATTAAAAACTTTCAGCTTTTACAATTTAGGTATATGATGAACTGAGTTGGTTTTTATATGTGTGGGGGAAAAAGCCTGGAATTCTGCCTGCACCAAACGTCCAGTTGTTACAACACCATGTTCTTTGCAAAGACTATCCTTTCCTTCACTGACCTTTTTGGGCAGCTGTTTAAATTCTAGTGGCAAAACAAGAATTTGGGATTTTGTGCTGACCTGGTACCTGTAAGAAGATATGGGTGGAGTTTAGCCTGTCAACCAGGTCACCGTCTAATGACCGCCTTTGGAGGTGAGATGGCTCTCTGGAGGCCTGCCACTCTCTCCCTCCGTGTTGGTCAGACCAGTTCTCTGCTGAATCCAGCTGTCCTGCCTCACCACGTACTCTGGGCTACCTGTGGGCCGAGGAGCACTCTGTACCACCTTGTCAAGCCCACAGGGCACCACATCGCTGTGCTATGCAGTTCTACACTGTGGCCCCACCCCACCTTGCCTGCTTACAGGCTAATTCCGCCTTTTTTGCCACCATTTCAGACGCCACAACTCCAACCAGCCACTTCGAATCACTACCCAGTGAGGCTCCATTGTGATTTGGCTTCACCACACTGCACTATTGGCCTCCAATACACCTCACCACCTCAGCTTCCTTAGCCTGGGGCTAGCGGTTGGGTGAGTTGGGGAGACCTTCAGTTGTTAACTGACCCACTAACGTGAGTCGGACTGAGCTCTCTGTACTGCTGGGTGTGCTAATTTGCTGTCACGTTCCTTTTCACTATATAAACGTATTCATATATATGTGTAAAATCATAAGTGCCCTGTTTCTTTCTCTCTACAACACTCTAATACAGTTTTTGGAGTCTCTATCTTGTTTCAATGGTCAGTGTTTACCTTTAGGAATATACTGGTGCATGATTAATGTAGTTTTATGTTAAGTTTAAAATAAGGTTGTATAAGTCCTCCAACTCTGTTCTTTTTAAAAATTATTTTAGGCTAAGCTAGGTTCTTTGTATCCTCATAAAGATCTTAAGTCTACTTGTGAATTTCTACACAAATGCCAGAGTAATTTTTATTGGAGTCACAATGAATCTAAATGTAGTTACTACCTTCACAGTTAAATGTAGACTATGTATTCTTTCAGGAGTTTAATAGTTCTCAGTGCACAGATGGTATACATTTCAATAACCAAACTGCCTTTCTGATTCCATTATCTAACTGAAATGCTAGTTTAAAGAAATAACACTGAAAAAAAAAGAAATAACACTTTAATATATTGACTTTGTATGCTGTGATCTTGCTAATAAATTCCTTTATTAGTTCTAATGTATTTTTTTTTAGCTTTAACCTTTTGAGGATAAAAACTTTTATCATTTAAGAGACCCATTCCCTGATTCTTAAAGTAATAATCTTTAGAAAACTTTTGCAAGAATTGAAAAGTATAACAAAGTAGATTCCAGTTCCTTCAATATGTAGATTAACCAATGCTAAGCAGATGACCTATTTCACTGGGGAAATCTGCTGCAAAGTACCTCCTTAAAGTGAAAAAGCAAAGATGTCACCTATTTTCATTGGCCTCACATGCATATTGAAAGCTGGACAATGACTGGAAAGTAGATTCCATGAATTATGGTGCTGGTGAAGAATACGGAATATACCACGGACTGCCGGACACAAACAACGCATTCTGCTTGTCCTTCTTCCAACATACATTTGGGAGGGTAGCACGACTCTCTCATTAACTCTGGATATGTCACCAAGACACAGCAGTCCCCGAGAAAGACGGCATGATGTCTGGTAAAGTAGAGGGCTTGGAAAAGAAGCCTCGACAAGGGGGCCTGACACAATAGTTCCAACAACAGGAGGAAACGACAACGGAGATGGCGCTGGGCTGGAGTGGTTTTCTTTTGCACACAGGGTCACTCTGAGGAAGAACAAACTTAATGGTATCTAACAACAACCATCTTTTACCAAGTTTCTTTACCATTTGGGGCAAAGTTCATTTTAGTTTTATACAATGCACTTATTTTTATATACTGAGTTTACTCCGGTTGACAATCAGCATGCTTTTTCCATAACAAATGACAGCATCAGCGTTTTCCTTGTACCACACTTTCTGTGGACATCATCTTACAGTCTCCTTAATATTCTATTATAGGGGTATGCCATCAGTAACCATTATACTACAGTATTTTTAACTGTGCAACTCTAAGTAGTGTTTCACTAATCACCCATAAGGATACATCTCTGTCTACATGACAGATGTGGTCCTTAGGGTGTTAATAATAAAATAGCTAACACGTATACATGTGCCAGGCACTGTTTTAAGCGCTTCATACACATCTCACTTAATCCCCACAATAACCCTATGAGGTAGATACAAGTAGTACCCTCATAACTCAGTTGAGGAAATTGGGATGCTGGTCTTCAGAAATTGAAAGATCCAATTAAGAGACTACTCTTGCTCCCATGAAGAACCACTGCTAATAACAAAATTCAATATGCATGTGATTGGTATGTAAGCCCAGAGAAGAGAAGCAATCATTGAGAACCTAGGACTTACTCCGAGTGTAAGACCTGGGGCAACTCACTGTATCTCAACTGTACAATGAACAGTAAGCATTAGAGAAGTGGCTCTCAACCTTCCTAATGCCCTGACCCTTTAATACAGTCCCTCATGTTGTGGTGACCCCCAACCATAAAATTATTTTCGTTGCTACTTCATAACTGTAATTTTGCTACTGTTATGAATCAGGCGACCCCTGTGAAAGGGTCGTTCAACCCCAAAGGGGTCGTGACCCACAAGTTGAGAACCACTGCATTAGAGGGTCTCTAACATTCCTTCTAGCTCTGTTTTCTGATTTTAACAATCAGTTCTAGACTCTGACTCAGAGGGACATAAAATCTCTGTTCTCCTTGTTTATCAATCAATCATTGAGCATCTAATACAAAAGTGCTTCAAAAAGTTCAAGGAAACATGGAATTAAAAGATAATTAAAATCCTTCATGAACTTTCTGAAGCCCCTTTGTGTATGTGCTAGAGAATGGCAAGTCATGACCAGTCTAAACACACTGGTGACCCATTCACAGAACGAAGCAGAGAATTCAAACAGATCCTCTTCCTAAATGTCTGTACTGTGTCATGGACTTACCAGAGGGTCTGAAGATTTGGGATCCTTTCCCTAGAAGGGAATACCTTTGTACAAGAGGAACAATATTGCGTACAATATTAAAAATGGTCTAGAGACCTCGTCAATGAATCCATAAACTCACTATGGGGTTAGGGATTCTCCGTGTTGATGAATCTGATTCAGGTAAAGGAGAAAGAGTGTGTGGGAATGGAAAGGGGGAACTCAGCTCTTATAAGAACTAGTGTAAGTTTACGTCAAGTAACAGACACTAGGCTGTGGTAATGATAATACTGATGACTACGCTAGTAACCATAAAGCACTGAATACCCATCAGGCACTATTCTAATCTGTTCACGTGTTTACATATTTAATACTCACCACCATCCTACGAGGGAAGTACTATTATTGCCCCTGTCTTACAGATGGTTGTCTGTAAGTCAGGCATTTACAAAGAAGCGAGGAAGGATGCCCAAGATCACCTAGCTAGGGGCAGGCATGGGATGATTTCAACCTTGGTGGTCTTGCTCAGTCTATACTCCTAACCACGATCTTTTCTTTACCGAGATTAAAGACCAATTTGGGAAGGATGGCGGCCCGGGGCGGTGCTGTGCTGTATTTAATCCCATGTGTACAGTACAGTTGCTCTTAAAATTGCCCAAGTGCTCGCTGACACTCAAAAGGACCATCCTTGATTTGTGGAAATGCCCAATATTTCTTCTAGGTCCTAATATCCAGAAAACGACTGTGTTTTTAAATTCGCAAAGGCCTTTAGCACCATGCCTTAAGAAAATTAAAAACAACTTTAAAATTAATGAAAAAAGTCAACTAGTGGACTTCCTTGAAAGTAGACATTCTAAGTAGTTACATTTTTCAAAAATAACAGTCACAACAACACTGAAGGAACCATAAAAAAAAGTTTTATAGGAATCTATTCTGTTCACTTATACATAGACACTTTTGCCTACATTCCAATCCATGCTGCTAGTAGTGTAAATGTTGTCTTCTTTACCTGCCTGACAAGCACTTTTCCTGCTGCTAATCAAACTGGTTTATATAAGACACATAAAACAGATTTAAAAACTACTAAATATCTCACAGGAAATTGAATGGCATACTAACTCATTGGAATACAATCCATATCATTCATTTTCTTTATGATAAGTTAATAAAGTTGGGTCACCTCTCAACAACTACTAAACAACTTAATTATTCCTGCTAAGATGCAAGATTTAAAAATGCTTCTAGGACAATTTATTTTATAAGAATTCGTGGAAAGGAAAAAACCCCACTATAAAGTACTAAAATGTAATTTGTAAGGGTTTTCTCGCCTTTTTGTTTGTTTGCTATTATTATTTTTAACTAGATAATTCTATCTGGTACCCAACAGGGGTAGTAATGATACTGAAAAATTTTCACACGGATTCCACTTATCTTGCTGTCTCCCCAAAATGAGTTCTGTGAGGTAAAACAAAGTTATCGTTCTTTGTGAAGAATTTTCTATGGTCATGTTAATAAGTGTTTTCTCCAGTAGGACCTGTCTGGTACCTGATAAGGTTAGAACTATTCACAAGAGCTGTACCACACTGATGACATGTGAAGAATTTTTCTCCAGTCTGTGCTATTTGATGTACGATGTATGGAGAGCTCTGGCTGAAGATAATTTCACACCGATTACATTTAAAAGTCTCTTCTCCAATATGAATCCTTTGATGCTTAATAAGGTCATTCTTCCGAATGAAGGCTTTCTCACACTGACAACATTCATATGGTTTCTCTCCAGTATGGATTCTCTGATGTACAATCAGAGCAGAGCTCTGGCTGAAGGATTTACCACAGTCGTGACATTCATAGGGTTTCTCTCCAGTATGGGTTCTCTGATGTGAAAAAAGGTGAGAGCTTCTACTAAAGCATTTCCCACAATCTTTGCATTCGAAAGGCTTCAGCCCAGTGTGAGTTCTATGATGCACGACAAGATGAGATCTCTGACTATAAGACTTACCGCACTCATTACATTCATAGGGCCTGACCCTAACATGTGTTCTCTGGTGCAGAATAAGGTGTGTGCTTTGCCTGAAGGACTTTCCACATTCCGGACACTCATAGGGTTTCTCTCCAGTGTGGGTTCTCTGATGCCTAATAAGCCTGGAGCTATGCACAAATGCCTTCCCACACTGATTACATGTATACAGTTTGTCTCCTGTGTGAGTTCTCTGATGTGTAACAAGGTGAGAGAACCAGCTGAAGCATTTCCCACATTCTTTACATTCATAGGGCTCCTCACCAGTGTGAGTCTTTTGGTGTCCTGTGAGGTGGGAACTCCGGCTGAAAGACTTTCCACATTCTTTACATTCATACGGTTTCTCTCCAGTATGAATAAGCTGGTGTCTGGTCAGATTAGAGCGCCAACTGAAGAATTTTCCACATTCTTTACATTCATAAGGTTTCTCTCTAAGTGTGCCCTTTGACATGCCAAGGGAAGTACCACGAGTACGAGAGTCATCAGTATCAGGACATTTATATATTTTACCTCCTGTCTGGGTTCTTGTAAATTGAATAAGGTGAATGTTTTGACAGAATGTTTGGCCACATTCCTTGTTACTTGCATAGCTTTCCTGATGACCACTGAACACTAACTTATGTTTTACACTTTTAATATGTGAGTCATGTTTGTGGAAATACTCTCTCAGTGCCACATGAGCAGGGAGAAGACCATTCCCCCCATATTTGCCATGTTCGCAGACTCGCTCTGGAGAAAGCACTTTCTTCTGTGTGAATGCCACTTGCCTCAAATGTTTCTCCTGGTTTTCCTGATACCTGTTCAACTGGTCTTCACATTTCCAGATTTCTTCTAATGACAAATACCAGAGGTCATTCTTTGCCATTCCTTCCATTTTAGTGTCAAAGATCTGTTTCTCCTCGAGAATGCTCTCATTGGATATTGGTGATTGAATTTGAACTGCAGTCTCGGAATCTGAAAGAAAATTAAAAAACCCTTGGATGACTAAAGAAAGTATCATGATCAGAATGGGGAAATGTGTGTGGAGACAAAGTATGTAAGACACTATAGAGTTGCTTTCAAATATGGTTTTATAACCTTGACAGAGATTAAAAAAGAAAACAATGGAACAGTAAACAGGAAATACACTGAGATAAGCAGTATAAAAAGTAGTACAAAGAACAAAGAACAGAACTGAGCTGTGTCAAGTGGGATCAGGATATTATTAAATGACGCAGATACTGGAAAAAGAAATACTAGAGAAATGATTGGAATTCCACCATCTGATCTATTAAGGGTCTAAGATCCAAATATGTCTACTTGTTTCCAGGTCTACCCTGACATTCATCGTTCAGAATTAAAGTCAACATCATCCCTAAACTATACCTGTAGCCATATGTAAGGAATGTTTATATCTACCTAATGAAAGCAAGCCAAAATAATGCTCAGGCCTCTCAATAAAAGACATAAGGTCCAACAACAGTTATGGACATGAGAGACTGCACAGAAGTTGTACAAACACAGGTGATAGTCCAAGCTGTGCCAATGCTGGTGATGAATTTAGAATTTAAACAAGTTTCTCAGCTTTCTCATGATTGATTTTGATTTGTTATCTGTAATCCAAGGGAGCGCAGGCTTGTCCTGAACGTGCTCTATGAAGTGGGAAGCCATCACAGACTTGGCACCTATGCTGTGGCTAGCTGTCATTGGGTTGGTTCCGCCTCACAGAAATACCATGGACAATGGAGAAAAATAAGGCTCGATCCTGTGCCATCCTCACAATCATTCTCTGAGCCCATTGTTGCAGTCACCGTGTCAGTCCATCTTGTGGAGGGTCTTCTCTTTTCCACTGCTCCTCTGCACTACCAAGCAGATGTCCTTCTCCAGGGACTAGTCTCTTCCGACAATTTACAGTCAAATAAATATTACTGATAATAATTATTTTTGGCTTCTATTTTTTTGTCCCTTCTGGGACATCAGGACTGAACAACTGACAGTAATCATACCAGGACACTGTAACTTAGAATCTGAATCTTCCTCCGTAGTCTTCTAGACTTTCTGGCTCCCCGTGCATATTCCTACCGAACAAGGCAAACATTCCACTCGTACCTGGTCAGTTACCGTGCGCCTATCAGTCCAGTCAGCTCCCTTTCCTGTACCTCTCTCCACTCCTGGAGTCCTTCGGAACCTTTCAGTTGCCACGTGCAGAGATTATCTCCCAGTTTCTTTCACTACCTTAATGATTTCTAGTGGAAAACCCACATGTCCTGTGGCCATCAGACTCCCAATGGCTTTCCAACTACAAATGACATCCGAAGATTCTACGATGGACATGTGAGGTGGAGTGGAGCTGAGAGCTAATAAGGGAAAAGTGAGTAGAGTGTTGGAACACATGAAGAGGTACTTTCCTTTAATGATATGCTGAAAATTCCTCTGACAATCATCTATCATAACCACTTAAGTTATCTTTAAGTTCTGTGGCACCCGTTACTCACCTCATCATCTGAGTATTTAAATCTGTACTTAGTACTTTGCGTTTTGGTAATGAAGTTCACCTAGCCATATAGAATTCCTTAAATTTCATGTCTTTAAACATTTTAAGTTTCAGTATTCTGACATTCAGTTCTAAATAAAAACATAAGCTGCTGAATCTAGTTCAGTGTTTCCCAAAGTGGGTGATACCACCGCCTGGCCAGTGTTGGAACAATCTAAAAGAGCTGCAACAAGGGACACCTACACTCTATTACGGATAACTGGCTATAGGACAAAAGTTGTTCATTGCTCAGCATGGGGAGAGACACTGAGGTGCTTTCCCCCCCCCCCCCTAAGTGTAGAAACCTTTGTTCGAATTATGTATTATTTTATCAACAGCCATCTGGGAAAGGTGACTGAATGAACACATGAATGTGAAAAATAAAAGGGAAGAAGATAGAGAATAATCCCCCTCCGCTCCCCTAAGCCCTGAAGCAGCTGATTAATCAAATCTTAGTAGAATATTGAAAGATCTGACCTTGACCAAAATGTAATGCCTACAGGGACAAGCTCAACAAATCCATAAGCTGTTTATGGTAATGTTTCAAAGTTATATGGTAGAGACTTAAACGAAGTGGAACATCATAAAAGAAGAACTGTACTTACTGAAAAAGCCATAAAAAGTGTCACAGGGAAAGGACTTGAAATGCAATAGACTCATGTTTTACTTACATGCTATTCAAAGCTGAGGTGCTGAGAAAGCACTGACACGTATAGACACCAGGCATCGTAGCAGAAGAAAGCAACTGTAGGATATGAAGATGTGACGACATTGCTCCCGCCTGCGGAAGCTACATGTTTTGTAGTAACCTGTGTAAGAGTCATCAGTAAGTGCTCCTGTCCTCACTACCATGGAAGGAGGTTTTACAGGTTACTTGCATTTTAGATAAAACTATCTAAGATGACTAGGAAGAAAGCTGTCAGAATACTAGAAATGACTAGAGATTATTTATAGGTGTAAGGATTCTCTGGGTGGTGGACAAGGTTAAGTACTTGGCTGCTAACTGAAAGATTAGCTGTTCAAATCCATTCAGAGGAACCTTGGAAGAAAGGCCTAAAGATCTACTTTAAAAATATATGCTCCCCCAGACCTTGAGGGGCACGTCTATCCTAATACACCAGGGGGTTGCTATGAGTCAGAATCAACTCAACGGCAACTGGTTTTTTAATTGCTATTTTAATTTTACATATAATAAAGGTGTAAAAAAAGTAAGATACTGTTTAATCTAGAAGGCAGATTCTCCTTATGGCCCAGGGAAGATGGGAAAGGGGATTAAGTTAGGAAGTCACATAATGAATTACATTTTAGATGTGTTAAGATAAAAATGGGGAAAACTCGTAAGAAACAATACATATAGAATTATAGTACAGTGAGAAAGCCACATGGTTTTGAGAGCAGTGGACATCAGGTGGAACAACAGGTGTGGGAAACTAACACTGAGGGCCCTAACTTATAACAGAGGGAATCTGGAAAGCTGGTATTCCACAGCAGGAAAGCCACCACTTGGTAAATTAGAGATAAAGTTCAGGTACAGTATCCTTCTTTAAATATCATTCCCACAGATTCTCCCCTAACAGCTATGCTGCCTCCAAGTGAGCACGTGGTTGCTTTTATCTCCTGATGGAAACAGACCTTCTATTGTTATCTCCTCCCGCAGCAGCACCCATCCCCCCTCATACCTTCTCCCAATGCAGGTATTAGGTTTCCTCACCTGTGAGCTTAGGGGCTTTACTGTGGTTACCTCCCACCTTGTGACGTATGTAACTACTGAATATGCATATATTATGGCTACCTGTAAATATGCCAAGACAGTAAAGACGCCCTCTTCTTTCCTCCCAGTTCCACGTGGACCATCAAGAGGGGCTGAGGTGAGCATGCTACCATAAAACGTGTCTGACCCCTTTATTTTATTCTCTCTCCCATCTTTCCCTTTCTCTATGGCTTTACTCTGATCTTTATATATTATAACCGTACAATTGCGCCTACTGACCCTTCGGTCGCTAGAGGCTGGCTTCCTCTGACAAACAGACATATTAAAAAACTGGGATTTATGAGCCTTCTGTGGTAGTTTTCAAAATGACCCCAGAACAGATGGAGCCCAGCACAAAGCTTACACAGAGGCTGCTGGAATGAATGAAACACGTGAAGGGAAATGCGTAAGGAATGACTCTATGAGAAGGTGGAAAGCTGGGGGAAGTGGGGAATGAGAAGTCACTACTAAACAGGTGCTGTGTGGGAAATCAGTAGTGGTGAGGGTTATACAGCATGGCAAATATAATTAACGTCGCTGATTTTTACATTTATAAATGGTTAAAATGGCAATTAAAAAATACTTAAATATTCTTTGTACATATTCTTAAACATACGTTTTTTTAATTCAATAAAAAAGGGGCGAGACTTCAGTCAAACCAAACTGAACTGTTCAAATGAATGAGTAAATAACGAGTGAGAAAGTAACTGCCTTTCAAAGGAAATTTTACCACGGGGAGAACATTTTGAAAAACTGTATTTGCAAAGGTTTCCATTGTTACATGACTTTGTTGATGACTGAAAACACTGTTTATTAAAAAACATTTTTAGGGTGAAGAAGGTAGGGTCCCAGCAACCAATGCCTCCCAGGGCCCTTCCAGAGCTCTTCATGGTGCAATGAGAAAATCACATCTTCCCCAGGGTCTCTCATTTCACAAAAGAGCAAACCACTGTTCACAGATTTGATCTTGTTCTTTCACAGGGGACTGAATCAGGATTGTCACCCAGATCTCCTGATTCCTCCATTCTACCTCCTCATTTCAAACAATGTCATTATTATCCCATCCTATATATGTATTCAGACTTTTACCTATCGACATACTAAAAGGTCCTTCAGATAATCACCATTTAGAAGATGCAGGGCAATGGTGTGCTCTTTCACACTCCACTCTTATAACTCCCACCAAACGATTGGTTGGGCCCGTGCACACAAGGTGCGTGTGGCCCACCAAGGGGGTTGGACCAAGTCAATCCCATTACCACCGAGCCAGGTCCAACTGATGGCACCCTGACAGCAGCGCTACAGCACGGTGCAGAACTGCTCCAGCGGGGTTCACAAGGCTACAGATCTTGATGAAGACAGACCGCCACATCTCTCTCTCACGGAGCGGCTGGTGGGTTTCAACCACAGCTGGCTTTTTAGTTACTAGCCAGACACTGAATCACTGCACCAACAGGGATTCTCGGGGGATTGGACAGTTTTGTTATAATGCAAATAAAGTTGTATGGAACCGTAACAAGGGAGCTGGTCATTTTGGTGATCCTACTAGGCTTAAAATGAGTCATCACTAGAAAGGGCATTCGTCAATGCCATGAAGAAGAGACAGGAGCAGAGGGAATCCTTTGGACCCATGATCCCTGAGCTGAGAATCTCTAAGATCCAGGAGAGAGAGAGAGAACACACTGGTGGAGTGATACGGTTTACTGGTTACACAGTGTGGGAAACAGAAAGATTTCTCCCAAGTTGTCTCCCCCAAATATATGCCAAACTTAGCTGCTTGCTACATGTGTCAGATATAGGCAAAAAAAGTAGGGGAGGGATTATTCTCCCTAAGGGTTATCAGCCATCCAGAGCAAGCAGACACCATTGTTTAGCCTACAATAAGTAGGGCCCACTCCCTTCTGATGAGGATAGTAGTAGATTGTTTTCCTGAAGGAGAACCCAGGGAGGTCAAGCCCACTCAAAGGTGACCAAGGTTAGGCCACCATCATGAATCTTGGGTCTGCCCTTCTTGTCCCATGTATACCCTTAGTCCCTCCCATTCCTATCACATGCACACCCCTAGCTCATCCCCTTCCTGTCATGCCTATTGTACATCCCCTTCCTATGATGTATATGCCTATTGTACTGCCCCTTCCTGTGACATGTAATCACACCCCCTAAGAGTTATAAGCCTTGGTTAGCAATAAACGTCTCTCTCCGGCTCTCTCCACCTAGACCACCAAGTGGGGCTGAGGTGTGCATGTTACTATGTGTCTGACTTCTTTATTTTACTCTCTCTCCTATCTCTCTCATGCTCTGTGACTTTATTATGATCTTTATATATCTCAAGCGTACAATTGCGCTTACTGAACCCACAATTAGTTGGGTGGGGAGGGGCTGGCCTTTCTCCCACAACACAGGGCATGCTGACGCACAGTGAGGGCACTGAGAGTCTTTAGCTCTCTGGCAGAGTGACATCCCCCTGGCCCCTGGCTGCTTACTGACAGAGCTAATGTGCTTTTTAACACTTTTGAACACTTGTCAGGGCAGAGCAGAAGTCAGGCTCAAGTGGGGCCAAGGGCTGGGTCAGGGGATCGGGGGGAGCTGGCAAGAGGCTATCCTGATCTAAGAAGTATACCGAGTCATTTCTAAGACTGAATTATAAGTTGTCACTTCCTCAATAAACCCCATACTTGTGAGTATTGTCTGTGAGTTCTTTGTGGTCATTACAGTGAATTGTGGAATCCAGCAGAGGAGGAGTGCGTGCGGCGGGAGGCACAGCTCGTACCAGAATTGGTTGAAAGGCTAGAGGGTGTAGGTATATCTGACCTCTACCTGATAGGAATCAGCTTTGGGAAGTTAGGCAAAGAAGGCCCTTTTATACAGAAGACTTTCCAGAATTCATACTGTCATGAAATACAAGTAGAATTCAGAGTACAAAGACACACACTTTATTCTGTTCTACTTTGGTGCCTAGACACCCACACAGGGAAAGACTATCAACTAGAATAAATGATTATGGAGATGTCAGTATATCCCCCTCCCTGGGGGGCAGACAACAGAAAAGTGGGCGAAGGTGGGTGAAGGGAGACATCAGTCAGTGTAAGACATTAAAAAAATAATAATTTACAAATTATCAAACGTTCATGAGAGAGGGAGGGTGAGGAGGAAAGGGGTGAAATGAGGAGCTGATACCAAGGGCTCAAGTAGAAAGAAAATGTTTTGAAAATGATGATGGCAACAAATGTACAAATGTGCTTGACACAATGGATGGGTGCATGCATTGTGATAAGAGCTGTATGAGCCCCCAATAAAATGATTTTTTAAAAAAATAAAGAAGTACTAGTGGGGAGGGAGGGGAAAAATGAGGAGCTGATGCCAGGGGCTTAAGTGGAGAGCAAATGTTTTGAGAATGATGAGGGCAATGAATGTACAAATGTGCTTTACACAATGGAGGTCTGTATGGATTGTGATACAAGTTGTACGAGCCCCCAATAAAATGATTTATTAAAAAAAAAAAAAGTAGTAGTAGTTGTAAAATATAGCCTTGGTGATTAAAAAAAAAAGAGAGAATATGGAGATTTCAGAAGTGGTAGCAATGAGCCCCTCGGTGGTAAAGATAGTTATACATTCAACAACTAACAACAAGGTAGCAGTTCAAACCCACCCACAGGTGCCTCAGAAGACAGCCTGGTAATCTGAATTCCATAAAAGCTCTCAATGCCCTATGGACCGCATTTCTACTCTGCAACCGTGGGTTTGACATGAGTCCGAGCTGATTTGACAGCAACTGGTTTTAGAGTTATTGGCGATAACCAGGACAGCAACATAAACAGGGCTAAAAGCAATCACAGAAATATAGTTTTAACAACACACACTAGTAACAAAGACTGGAGAGGACATAAAGAAACCGCATCCCTTATCCACTGCTGATGGGGATGTAAAATATCACAGCTGGCGTGGCCCAGCAGTTCTACTCCCAAGTATAAAGTCAAAAGACTTGAATGCTGAGACTCAAACAGATACTTAGGAAGAGCTATTCATAATAGCTAAAATGTTGAAAGTCTAAATGTCCATCAGTGAATTAAGGGATAAACAAAATGTGGTACAAATAGATGCAAGAATACTATTCAGCCAGTAAGAAAACCGAAGTCTTGATACATGTTATGATATGGATGAAACTTGAAGATTAAGTTAAAGAAGTCAATCATAAAAGAAATATTATATGACTTCACGTACATAAAAAGACAAGAACAAGCAAATGCTTAAGAGATTAAAGTGTCTTAGTGGTTACCACAGGTGGAAGGGAGAAGGAATGGGGGTTCATGCTTATGGAATACTAAATATCAACTTATGGTGAGGGAAAAACCCCACTGGTCACAGGTCGGATTGTACAGTTGATTAATGTAGTTGCTGGCAAAGTTGAAATGGCAACAGTTGTGCGACAGATACACTGAAAACAATGACAAAAAATTAAAAGAGCACATTTGCTTATGTACAAACGAACACCTCATGGGTTGGAGGTTTAGGGTCTAAGTTTCATGAGACATCCCATAACTGGCCCACTAACATGTTTATTGTTTCTATTCCACCTGCTACTTTACTGAATAGTGCTTGAGATCTTAAAAGTTTGCAAGCTGCCATAGAAAGCACATCTGGTTTCTATTCACTGGTACCAGTAAGGGAGAAGGAATGTCAAGGATAAGAGGAGCAAATGGAGTGTGTGGCTGATTCCACCTGTGCTATGAAGCCGGAAGAACTGCATGGCAGCTCCAGTTGTCCCTTGGTTAGGGCGCAGTTCTCCTGTGACAAGATTGAATGGTGTCTGTTTACTATTAGTGAACATTTTGATCAAATCCTGATCAAACAAAGAGAAATGCAGAACATGATTCCAAAATCTCATGGACTCCAAAATTTCTGGAGCCATAAAGGCTGGATGAATCCCTGCTTTGAGATCATCCTTAAATCTTGAACAAAAATATTCACAGAACCCTTCTTAAAATCAAACAATAGTTTATGTGAGATACAGAAAGCTTTCCCCCCAGGTTGTTCCCTCTATTGTACGCCCAGCCTAGGATGCTGCTTGCCAGCCCCTGGAAGGTCAGCTGCTTAGAGGTTATTTCCCTGAGAGTATCAGCCATTTATGGCCATCAGTCCCTAGTGTCCGTCCCACCACAGGTGGGGTCCACTCCCTGCTGATAAGGATAGTGGACTGTTTCCCTGAAGGAGAGACAAGGTCAAGCCAACTCAAGGACGACCAAAGGCAGGCTGCCATCTTGAGTCTAGGATCTGCCCAGCTTGTCACATGTGGACCCCTAGAGCCCCTCCCCTTCCTATTGCATACATCCTCGTTCGTCCCCATCCTGGTGCGTGTGCCTACTGTACAGCCCCATCCTGTTACATATGTGGCTCCACGTAATCGGGGGCTTGCACAGCCCCTAAGCACATATAAGCTGTGATTAGAAATATACTCTCTCTGCACGGACCTGGCTGCTGAGATCATGGCCGTCCAGGAGGTGAGCATGCTACCATGAAATGTGTCTGACTCCTTTATTTGATTCTTTCTCCTATCTTCTGTGACTTTAAAGTTTAGCTTAATAATAGAAAATGTCAGCTTTGAGCATTATGCTCTTTTAAGGCTTATGGGATCAAACTGACAACAACTCAAAAGAGTCAACAGAAACCTTCAGGGGCAGTGAGTTTAGTTTAAGTTAATGGGTACATAACAGATCTTAAAAGGAGGGTCAGAAGGCTGTACAACGTAAAGGATGTCTGTCATCCATGGTACTAAATTGTACATGTACAAACTTGAGTTGGTTTATGTTTTTTCTGTATATATTTTCAACAACAGAAATTTATTTTAAAAAACAAAGGATACCTTTGCCCCCACATGCAGTCCAAAATGTGACACGAATATGCCCTGGAAATAGAGCAACTGGAAGTAAAAAAACAAGCCTTCTCTGAAACAAAGTAGCTGCGAGAAGATCTAGCTGACCCTCTCTCCAGAGGCTCTAACCTGCCATCTGGTCTACTACCTGTAAGCTTCCAATCTGATTCTCACCTGGAAAGGTCTCCTGGCGAATCTCTACTGGCCAAGGCTCTTCACCTCTCTCCAACCGGAGGATCACATCTGGTTTAGGAAACTGATGACCTATTTACAGGAAAAGACGAAGAATCAGACAAGGGAAGAGGAAGACCCGTGTTGCAGAGAAGTCTCTCAGATCCAACTCCACCCTCAGCGTCTCAGAAGAGCAGGCAAGGGGAACTCCAGAAAAAGGTACACCCATGCGGAGAACCAGCTGACCCTTTCTCCAGAGGTTCTAAAACAAATATGCACTTAAACATTTGACTAAATAAAACAATTCTCATAAAAGCAGAATGAACAAAACCCCAAAAATATGAAGTTAGCCCAGAGAAATTAGGTCCTTGAATTGTAGCCTAAGCTTTGATGCATGTTTCAAAGTCTCCACACAATTCATCAATGAAGATCCAAAATCATTACAATAACTATGTTCTTACAAAACCAGAAGTGAATCTTACCCAAGGAAATCAGGTTCTTATAGTTCTCAAGCATCACATGCCTGTACATGATCTGCTGAGCCATGTTCAGGAGTTTCCACTCCTCCTTGGTGAAGTCCACAAGCACATCCTTGAAGTCCACCAATGTCTAAAAAGGCATAAAATAAATACTGAGCCAGATGCATATCTCTGTCCTCCCTATTCTTAATATTAATGAGAGGAGCAATCAGGCTAATAAGGACAAAGAAGATGGTCTTGAATTTATTTTCCAATTATTTTATTGTAAATTAGGTAAGGGTTGGACTTGAATAATTCAAGAATTTACTTATTTACTAAGCATTTATTTTAAGAGTAGTATTCATTATCTTCCGCCACTTGCCTGTCAGTTTGTTGTACTGTGTGGTTTGTACAATGCTGGAAGCTATGCCATTGCCATTTCAGACACCAGCAGGGTCACCCATGGTAACAAGGTTTCAGTGATACTTCCTCACAAAGACAGACTAAGAAGAAGGATCAGGTTGCCCATTTCTCAGGGATTAGTCACTGAAAACTTTATGAACAGCAGAATATTATCTAACACAGTGCTGGAGGAAGGGCCCTCTCAGGTTGCAGGGCAATATGACTTGGAAAGGCTACCTCGTAAGAGTAGAGTTAACTGTAATGATGTGGAATAACGCTTTTGGGACCTTAATTTGTTGATAGGACACAACTCAAAATGAGAAGAAACATCTATTAATAATCAGAAAGTGGAATGTACAAAGTATGAGTCTGGGAAAATTAGAAGTCTTAGAAAATGAAACAGAACGCATAAAGATGATATATTAGGCACGAATGAGCTGAAGTGGACCGATACTGGTCATTTTGAATCAAACCATCATATGGCGTACTATGCTGAGAATGACAAGCTCCTTCAAGAGAAATGGTGGTGCATTAATTGTCAAAACAATCATTCCAAGATCTCTTTTGACCTATGATAAAACACACAATCAAGATACATGGATAACTGTTGGCTATTGAAATGTAACAGTTGGAAATAATAAGGAGCAGCAGTTGGAAACTAGAGCCTTGGAGATAGAAATGAAGCCAGATATCACATAACAGATTTTGGCAAGAGCAGCGACTTCTTAACTGCAAATACAAAAGCCAACTATACATGTGGACTTTTCCCGATGGATAACAAAGAAATCAAACTGACTACAACTGTGGGAAGAGACAATGGAGAAGCTCAATACCAGCAGCTAAAACCAGGCCAGGGGCCAATTGTGAAACAGACTATCAATTGTTCACCTGTACCTTCAGATTGAAGCTGAATAAAATTAAAACAAGCCCATTAGAGCCAAAATATGACCTTGAGTATATCCCGCCTGAATTTTGTGAACATCTCAAAAACAGATTTGACACACTGACCAGTAATGACAGAAGACCTGATGATAGCAAGCACATCACATATGAAGAAAGCAAAAGGTAATTAGAAAGAAAGAAAAGGTCAAAGTGGTTATCAGAAGATACTCTGAAACTTGCTCTTAATCAGAGTAACTAAGGCAAATGGAGAAATGATGAGGTCAAAGAGTTGAAAAGAAATTTCACAGGCAGCTCAAGAGGACAAAGTAAGATATTCCAATGAAATATGCAAAGGCCTAGAGTTAAAAAAAACCAAAAAGGAAGTACATGCTCAGCATCTTACATTGAAAGAACTTAAGAAAAAATTCAAGCCTCGAGTTGCAATATTGGAAGATTCTATGGGCAAAATACTGAATGATCCAGGCAGCATCAAGAGAAGATGGAAAAAAATACAGTTACCGTACCTAAAATAGCTCGTTGAACATTGAATCATTTCAGGAGGAAATGAGCAAGAACCAATGGTAGTGAAGGAAGAATTTCAGTCTGCACTGAAAGCATTAGCCAAAAACAAAGTTCCAAGAACTGATGGACTACGAATTGAAATGTTTTAACAGGCTAGTGAGTGAAGCACTGGAAGCATAGTGTTCTCTGCCAGGGAATTTGGAAGACAGTCTACATACCCAAGGGACTGGGGGAAAAATCCCTATTTGTACCCATTCAAAGGAAGGTGACCTAACAGAATGCTCAAATTAGAGAACGATATCATTGATATCACACACAAGTAAAATTTTGCTGAAGATCATCCAACAATGGTTGCAACAGAACATTGACAGGGTGCTGCCAGAGGTTCAGGCTCGATTCAGAAGAGGATGTGGAACAAGGGATATTTCTGCTGATGTCAGATGGTTCTTGCTTGAAAGTAAGACTGCCAGAAAGAGATTTATCTTAGTTTTATTGACTATGCCAAGGCATGCAACTTGTGAACCATAACGAACTACGGTTAGCCTAGAGAAGAATGGTAATTCCAGAACACTACACTGTGCTCATGCAGAACTTATACATGAATCAAGAGGCAGCTGTGTGAGCAGAAAAAGGCATGGTTTAAAATCAGGAAAGGTTGAGTGCTCGCTTCGGCAGCACATATACTAAAATCAGGAAAGGTTCGGGGAGCGAGGAGAAAAAAATGAGGACCTGATACCAAAGGTTTAAGTAAAAAGAAAATGTTTTGAGAATAATGATGGTAACAAATGTACAAATGTGCTTGACCCAATGGATGTATGTATGGAATGTGATAAGACTTGTATGAGCCCCCAATAAAATAATTTTCAAAAAATCAGGAAAGGTATGCACGAGGGTTGTATTCACTCACCATGCTAGGTTTAATCTGTATGGTGAGCAAATAATCAGAGAAGCTGGATTATAGGAAGAAGGATGCAGCATCAGGATTGGAGGAAGGCTTATTAATAACCTGTAATATGCAGATGATATGACCTTGCTTGCTGAAAGTGAGAAGGATTTGAGGCACTTGCTGATGAAGATCAAGGATTGAAGCTCAATGTAAAGAAAACCAAAATCCTCATATCTGGACCAATAGGTAACATTATTATAAATGGAGAAAAAAAACTGAAGTTGTCAAAGACTTTGTTTTGCTTGGACCCACAATTAATGCTCACGGAAGCAGCAATCAAGTGATCAAATGACACGTTGCTTTAGGTAAACCTGCTGAACAAGACCTCTTTAGAGTACTGAAAAGCAAGGATGTGACTTTGAGTAGTAAGGTGCATCTGATCCAAGCCATGGTATTTTCAATAGCCTCCTGTGCATGTGAAAATGGAAGACTGAAGAAGAATTGATGCATTTGAATTATGGTGCTAGAGAAGAAAACTGAAAGTACCACGGATTGCCAAAAGTGCAAACAAATCTGTCTTGGAAAAAGTACAACCAGAAGGCTCCTTAGAAACAAGGATGACAACGCTTGTCATCATGTACATGTACTTTGCACATGTTGTCAGGTGAGACCAGACCCTGGAGAAGGATCTCATGCTTGGTAAAGAAGAGGGGAAGTGAAAAAGGAATGCCTTCTACAAGATGGACGGACACAGTGGCTGCAACCATGGGCTCAGACATAAGAACAATTGTGAGGACGGCGCAGGACCGGGCAGTGCTTCCTTCTGCTGTACGTGGGGTCGCTCTGGGTTGGAACCAACTTGAAGGTACCTAATAACAGCAACATCTTACAGCACAATGCTGTGCATGGTAGGGCAGTATCTGTATGCCTGCAGTGAAACTTACACATCAGCCAGGAAAGCCAATAATGAAGACACTGGAGAATTTCTTTATCAACTTCTTCCATCAGAAACTGATCAGACATGCCATCAAGTTGCATTGATATTTACTGATGGCTGGAATGAGAATGTTGGAAACAAAGAGAAAGGACCAAGAGTTGTAAGATAAGGTTTGGGAAAGAAAGTGGAGCGCACATAATAGATTTTTACAAAACCAAGAGCTTTTTCATTGCAAATAACCTTTCTCAAACAACATAAACAGGGACTATCCACATGAACCTTGCCAGATGGAATACATAGGAATCAAACTGATTACATCTATGGGAAGAGACAAAGAAGAATTTCAATATCATCAGGCAGAACAAGGCTAACTATGGGACAGACCACCAATTGCTCATATGCAAACTGAAGAAAATTAAAACAAGTCCACTGGAGCCAAAATATAACTCTGAGTATATCCCACCTGAATTTAGAGGCTATCTTACGTACAGATCTGATGCTCTGACCACTAGTGACTGAAGACCAGGTAAGCTGTGTGCTGACATAAAGAACATCACACATGAAACACCAAAATGTCATTAAAAGACAGGAAAGAAAGAAAAGACCAAAAAAGATGTCAGAAGAGACTCTGAAATTTGTTCTTGAACACAGAAAAACTAAATTAAATTAAATAGAAGAAACGATGAAGTAAAATTTGAAAAGGCAGCTTGAGAAGACAAAGTAAAAGTGTTACAATGAAACGTGCAAAGACCTGGCACTAGCAAACCGGAAGGAAAGGACATGCTCAGCATATCTCAAGTCGAAAGAACTGAAGAAAAAAATCAAGGTTCGAGTGATAACACTGAAGGATTCTACATGGAAACTATTGAATGATGCAGGAAGCAGTTAAAGAAGATAGAAGGAATATATAGTCACTGTACCAAAAAACTGGTTGACATTCAACCAATTCAAGTAGAACCAATGGCATTGAGGGTGAAATCCAAGATGCACTGAAAGCATTAGTGAAAAACAAGGCTCCAGGAATTTTATCAGCTGAAATTTCCCACAAATCAGTGCAGCCCTGGAGACAGGCACTAGGCCTGGACAACTGATTGGAAGAGAACCGTATCTGTGCCCGTTGCAAAGAAAAGCGACCCGACAGAATGTAGAAATTACCGAACAGTATCATTAATATTACATGCAAGTACATTTTTTTTAAAGATAAGTCAAAAATCGGTGCAATAGTACATCAACAGGTTGCTGCCAGAAATTCAACCTGGATTCCAGTGGAACGAAGGATACCATTGCCGATGTTAGATAAATCTTGTCTGTAAGCAGCGAATACGAGAATAATGTTTACTTGTGCTTCATTGATAAGGCAAAGGAAACCAACTGCGTGGATCCTAATGAACTATGGATAACATTGGGAAGAACGGGAATCCCAGAATACTTCTTTGTGCTTGTGCAGAACTTGTATATAGACCACAGAACAAGATGATACTCCATTGTTTAAATTCAGGAAAGGGTAGTAGTGTCTGGGCTATATCCTTTCATCACATTGACTCAATCTGTATGCTGAGCATGTTTATCTGAAAAACTAGACCATCTATGCAGAAAACCACAGCATCAGGATTGGAGGCTCACTAACAACCTGCATCGTGCAGGTAACATAATCTTACAAGATGAAAGCCAAGAGGATGTGAAGCACTTACTGATGCAGATCAAAGACTACAGCCTTCAGCGTGGTTTATAACCAATCAAAAGAAAACAGAAATTCCACAACTGGACTAATAGGCAACTGAAGAAAAGTTGAGAGAAGAATAAGACACAAAAAAGACTGAAGTCATCAAGGATTTCATTTTACTTCGATCCACAATCATGGAAGCAACAGTTAAGATATCAAACACTGTATTATAATAGACAAAGCTGCTATACAAGCCTCACTTAAATTGTTAAAAAGTAAAGATAACACTTGCTAAGGTGTGTAAGGTGCACCTGACCAATACTGTTATTTTCAATTGATCACCTCATATGCCTATGAACGCTAGACAATGAATTTGAATTATGGTGCTGTCAAAAAATATTGAAAGTAACACGGACTGCAAGAAGAATAAATAAATCTATCGTGGAAGAAGCAGAGGCAGAACACTCCTTAGGAAGACGTCTCACATACTTTGGGTGTGTCCTCAGGAAGGGCCAGGCCCTCGAGAAGGCCTGAAAAAAGAGCGAGACCCTCAGCAAGGTGGACGGGCTGCACAGCGCCTGCAACGACAGGCTCAATCAATTGTGAGGGTGTGGAAGGGCTGCCGTGTTTCCTCCCGTTGTCAGGAGAGTCCTGTAAGTCAGGAGCCAGCTCAACAGCACCGAACAGCACATCTTCATGACCCTGAACGAGTCCAGTCAACTCTCCAAAGAAATGGCTACTAGACGCCTACAATTAAAAAACAAGTTTCATACTGTGCTTTAGGTATAAAAACTGTTGGAAGCAATTTTATTTAAATAAGGTATATTATAAACAACCATATGAAGGAGATTTAGATACTAAAAGCTAATCTATTATTAAAGTACGTGAAATAAAGGCAGGAAAAGTGGTTAAAAGTATTAACATCACTTATATCTTAAGGATTAATGGCTTCTCCCTTGCCATATCTTATGACCTAAAATATACACATTAACCATGTTTTATGACTTAAAATAATTACCCAAAGCGTTCTGGGCATAACAATTTAGGAACTAAAAATGATATTGTAGTAGTATCAAGACAAGTGGACAAGGAAACACAAAAACGCAAGTCCTTTGTCAGGCACATCAATGAGGATTGCTAGTTACAAATGAAAAAACAACAACAAAACATCTGAATGACAGTATTTCTCATCAAAGACCATAGGCAAAAGACAGTAGGGCAATGTTTTGTCTTGTTTTTTAATGCTGAAAGAAAAGAATTGTCAACACATAATTTCTATGTTCCATGAAGGTATCGCTCATGAACAACACAAGATAAACACAATATCAAGTAAAGTGAAATGAGAATTTAGTTAAAAAAAAAATTCTTCAGGCAAAAGGAAAATTATTCAAAAGGGAATCCTGAAATCTCAGGAATGAATGATTATTCACAAAAATAATCAATATCTGGTAAATGTAATAAGCTAGTTTTCTCCTCTTGAATTCTTTATACGACGTGTGACAGTTGAAAAAATTATCACTGTTTTTGCAAAATATGTAGCGCTAATAGAAGGATAAGTAAACAAGCACTGCTACTAATGTTGCAGTCTGTACATGCACAGGTTTAGGCAGTTAAATTCCAGGCAGAAGGGTTAACTCAGAAGGATACGACAACTGGTTTTTGGAACTCCAAAAACGGTACCCTTAGTAGATTTTCTTGAAGGACACAGGATGATTACTGTGGCTTACTAGGGAAGTTTTCAGGAAATTGACAACTGCATCCGTCAGAAAATGTTCAGGAAAGCTGCACTGAGGAATTTTGACCGGTCATGACAAACGTACCTGCACCTGCTCACTCTTCAAGGGTCCCACGGGCTGTCCTCTAGGAATTTCATAGGGAAGCCTTGCCTCATTAATCCTATAGCACTGATCTTGCCCCCTTAAGGTTTTTTTTTCTTTCCCAAAGAACATTTGAAAGGAACACGATTTTAGTCCTCCAAGGGTGCCCAAACCTCCGTTTTGATATGGTGCATATGGAAAATCACAGACTTCTTAGTTGTTATTTAGGGTCATCGAGTTGGTTATGATTTAAAATATGCACAGCAGAATGAAACACTGCTCCGTCCTGCACCATCCTCACAATTGTTCTTATGTTTGAGCCCATTGTTGTGGCTACTGTCAATCCATCCTGCCAAGGGCCTTCCTTTTTCACTGCCCCTCCACCCTTCCAGGGAAGGATGAGAGAGATGGAAACACTGCTGTACTCAAAAGTATAGATCCAGATAGGGGATACTTCCAGAAACAATCACTTCACAATTTGATATTTCTTATTTAATAAAGGTTTCTATGGTTTTATAGCAATAGTTTTAAACTTATCCTTATATATAAGTCATTTGTTTCCCAATGGAGGAAAAGTAAAGGGACCCATAAGATTGTAAGACTCTCTCCTTTTTGTCTTTCCAAGAACCTATGCAAAGTACTCTGACCAGGTCCAACAGTGACTTTTCACTAATTTCTTTTCTAGTTGACTTCTTGGTGGCACGTTGTACTTTTGTGCATGTTATCACCAAGTGTCCCATTTACTGCATAGATGGTGCAGGCTCAGCCTCCTCTGTAAGCTTATCAGCTCTACCAGTTCATAAATTGATAGTTGGTATAGCAGTTCAATGAGGCATACAGGGCTGAATCTCCCACCACCAAATGCTTCAAGGCATGGTGCTCCTCAAGGCCCTCGGTGCCTTGGTCACAGTTATCTTTGGACACTTAGATCTCTTGAGTTCCTTTAAATAGATGTTCCCCACAGAGGAAATCATTTAGCCAGAATCATCATCAATGGGTAGCAGGGACCAGATAATTCTTTTAAAAATCATTTTATTGGGGGCTAGCACAGCTCATCAAAATCCATACATACATCCATTGTGTCAAGCACATTTGTACATTTGTTGCCATCATCATTCTCAAAACATTTTCTTTCTCCATGAGCCCTTGGTATCAGCTCCTCATGCCCCCCCAACCACCCTCACCCTCACGAACCCTTGATAATTTATAAATTATTATTATTCAGATATTTCTGAAGCAGCACCAAAATTCCCAGTTCTTTCTTTTTCAGGCACCACTAAGGGAAATCCCTCACCACCCTTCACAACAATTCTCATGGAACCTTGATCCACTGATCAAGAAAGGGCAAGCAACCCTCAGGCCTAAGCAAAATTGGTGAGAAACCAAAGGAATGGGTCTTGTAGGAAACACAGTGTTTAAAAGTAGAGGAAGGGGCTGTGGGATGAGCCAGGAGCTTGGCCATGACAGAGAGAACAAATTGCCCCAGGTAAAGAAAGAGGTTGTGCTGTCTACTTCCCTTAACTCACATCCATATCCTTTCAATTCTTCTATTGCTTGGAAACCTGCTAAAAGACCAATACTTGTGGTGCATTAGTTAGAGCATTCAGCTGCTAACTGAAAGGTTGGCTGTTCAAAACTAACCAGTCATTCTATCGGAAAAAGTGACATTCGGCTTCCTTAAAGGTCAAATCCAGAGATACGCTAATGGGCAGTTCTACTCTGTCTTATATAGTAGCTAAAATGTTGCTATTAATTAGAATAGATTTGATGGCAATGGGTTTGGTCATCATCTCTGGAGAAGCTAGCCTCCTGCAGGTATTATTCCTATGACTGAAAAATGAGCACCTTATTAGGCCCCTTTAGATTCTTTCATTGATTCTGTTCATACTGTTTGTAAACTTACCTTATACCCTTCTCTCTATATTGAGGGAAATAAAACCACAGCTATAAAAAAAGGAAAAGAAAAGAACCCCAAAATATATATAGCCCTAGTCTACTGGAGGGCAGTGTCTGAAATATAACTTCTAATGGAGTTTCAGGACTTAAGCAAAAAAAGAAAAAATCTAATCAGAAAAAGAAGAAAGCCCCTCAACTCACCCTGGGTGGGGTAGTTAGAAATTGAGCTTCCATGCTCTGTATTTTCTTGAGTAAAGGGGAATCCAGAAACTGAAAACCTAAGAAAAAGAAAGAAACGTGAGCAAAGTCAGCTACAGACTCCCTAAACTATTAGCTAGAACCCTATGGGAAACAGAAGGATTTCTCCCAAGTCATCTCCCCCAAATATATGCCAGACTTAGCTGCTTGAGAATGACTATACACTTGGAGGTCATCAGGAGTAGCCATCTAGAGCAAGCAGACACCACTGTCTGTCCCACAAGCTTAAGAAGCAGATTTAGAATTCAGAATAGCTTATCCCGTTAGAATTATAGACAGGGAGCTTGACAAGCAGCACCCAGAAGGGAATCAAAAAAAGGCGTTATATTGCCTTTCCCTTTAAGTTGCTAAAAGATCTCAAGCAGGCAGTCAATGATTATGGCCCAGACTCACATTTTGTAATTAGCACGATAAAGGCTCTAGCGGAGTCCCAGAGCTGGACCCCTATTGACTGGAGAGCTTTAGCGAAAATATGTACAGTGAACCCTCGCCATTTCACGCTTCGACTTCCGCGGCTTCACTCTATCGCGGTTTTTGCGTAACAGCACCCACTGCCTACACCTGCTCCTTCAGAGGAAAAAGACGGCGACCCACCTGTAGAGTACATCCCTTAAGTCATTTCATAGGCTATTGATTACAGTATTTGTAAGAACTATGTATAATAATACTGTATGTGAAATATGTAATACTGTAAACTAGATGCTATAAATAATATAATAAATAAGAAATGATCATTGTAACGTCCAAAATATTTTACTGTATTTTCCCTTTTTCGTTTAATAGATTGGGTAATACGAGTGTAATGGTGACTAAAGGGTGTTTTTTCATGTCCTCTCTGCTCTAACTACGAAAATATTTGATTTACAAATAAGGAATCCTACTTCACGGAATTTCATTTATCACGGTAGGGTCTAGAACCGATTAACCGCGATAAACGAGGGTTCACTGTATTTACTCTTCAGAATATATGCAATATCATATGGTGTGGAAGGAAGCAGCCCTTGTATGAGCACGCAAGAATGCCGAGGATAGGATAGATATAGGAATTCAGGAATTGCTAGGAGATGAGAATTATATCACAGTTGAGTCTCAACTGCAGTTTACTGAACAGACAATAGGGCAGATATGTGAAGTTTGCTTCAGTGCCTGGGAAAAGATAATTCTATCAGAAGAGAGAAAGCCAAGTTACATGGCTACAAGACAAGGGAATGATGAATCCTATGCTGACTTTGTGTCCTGACTAGAAGACGCTATTTCCAAATGTGTAAAAAATGTCCAGGCAGTAAGAGATCTAGTGCACAAGCTATCTTATGATTTCACTAATAAGCACTGGGAAAATGCCTCGTGGCCCTACAGGGAAAAGGGCACGCTGTTAGATTATCTCAGGATATGCAGGAATGTGGAGAAAGAGGAATACAAGGCCAACCTCATGGCAGCTGCACGGGCAAATTACAGCAGACCTAGAAGAAAGTGTTTTAGTTGTGGGAAGACAGGTCATCTTCAAAGAGAGTGCAGACAGCACAGGCCGATCAGGCTGGCCATGAAAAGCAAACTGCGGCCTGAGCCAGAGCATGGGCCAGGGCCACCTAATTCGGGTTTAAAAGAACCTGAACTCTGCCCCCGCTGTAGGTAGGGAACTCAGTGGGCGAGCCGATGCTATTCAAAATGCAACAGTTAAGGGTTGCCATTAGCATAGACTTCCTGGTAGGAAAATCGAGGAAGGAGCTTCATACAGACACCGCCCAGCAGAGCGTGGAAGGCAAGGTTTCTGCCTACTGGAGCAAAGATCTTAGAGAGAAACTGCAGGTATCCCCCAGCTTCACAACAGGAGACCAGACCTAACCAAACTTGCAAAAGCCCAGCCTCTGTTTTTGCTGCAGTTGGATTGACTAATCAAGAGATGGCTCAGAAGCCCTCACAGCAGTTTGATTCTAAAAAGCAGGAAATTCTTACTGAAAGAGTAATATAGTTTTTATCAGAAAGTTCTAACCTAAATAGTCAAGGAATTAAAAATAATACTGGAGTTGATCAGAGCTGTGAGGAAAAGCCAAAAGCTGTGAGTAAATCAGAAATTATTAAGAGCGGTAATCAGGTCCGCTACCTAAAAAAACTATGGGATGTCTATTAGGAAAGTCCAACATAAATTCTCAAGGTGCTCAGGTTATTGCTGGAATTATTGATCAGGATTATGAAGAAATTAAGGCAATAATAAAATCTGACATACCATGGTTTATAAAGAAGGACGATTTCTTAAGCCAATTTTTGCTTCCTTGCATTCCTAGAGTAAAAATGTATGCCTATCAGGAAAGAATATTTGCGAAGTCTGATCACCCTTTCAATAAAGGGGTCTTTTGGAATGCTGTCACGGGGAAACAACAGGGTCCCACATGGAATTAGAAATTGAAGGGGAAAGGTTTTTAAACTCTGGATATGGGGTCACTGCCTTAGGGCATTCAGGAGGGCCTAAGACCCTCCCATTAACTTCCCCTAAAGCCTGGTTGGAAGGAATGAGTGAAGTTAACCAAGAGAGACTATTTCAAGATTGTAAATTCATACAGTGTGAGAAGCCTCAAAGGGAAAGCGGCTTAATTGAGCCTATAACCTGATTGGTAAACTTGGAGAAAAAATGTGTTTGGTAAGTTACTTCAAGAACAGCTGAATACATTTATTAAGAATTTTTTCAGTCTTTCAAAGTATGGTAAGAAGGTCTCCCAATTAGTCTGCTCTCTTAATTCTTTGAGAGCTGGGAGCCCAAATTTACATGTTAGTTCTCTGGATTCTCTGAGAGCTGGAAGAAGAAATTTACATTAACAATGAAGGCTATCTAACTAGTAGTTTTACTGGTTCAAGACCAAGCAAGGCAACAGAGATTGCCAGCAATGCTTTAAAGGCTGCATGGTTAAAACAGAAGAGGGAGAAGAGGAATCTTATGTATGATGAATTTCATTTGGTCAATTTAACCAAAAAATTTCTCTCCTTACTAAAAGCTTGTAAAAAAAATTAGGACAGATAAACACATTTTCAATTCTACAGAGAAAACTGATTCTAAGAAGTCCCAAGAAGATGGAAATCGTGTTTGGGATCCAGGTCCATTCACCTGGAGAAAGGGCTATACATTTATGTTTCTGCAGAATAAAGCTGATGGACTGCCTTTAGAAGGACGCAACCACGTTTGGAGAAAGATGGACAAGGAAGAGATGGAGAAGCCACCCAATCTGAATCATAATTCCTTTTTCAGGTTAATCACACCCCAAAGAGTGGGGCTATTTGTTTATGTTTTCACAGGCAAAGGAGACCGGTGATGTCTCTTCAGCCGGCAAGGCCCAGAAGAAAGGAGGGACACCGATGCTGTGATGTGACCCCTTCCTGCTTATTGAAGTTCCCCAAAATGTTGAGAAGACCTCGCAGATTCCTGAGAATGGTGATTGCTGTTTGCTGAGAAATTTCTTCCATTGCAGATGCTGTCTAAGAGAAACTCTATCATAACTGAACATTTTATACAATAGTGACTGGACTATTACTACAGACTGTTGCTTTGTTGAAAGATCAGGATTTTGGAGTTGTCAATGCTATAATGTGATTGGAATGTAACTGATTTCTGTGTAACTCCTTACCTATATAATGTAACATTGCATAATTCGAATTTGATCAGGAAACATTTGCAAGGGTTTGAGGGAAACATTTCATTCGATGTTGATCAGCTTAAGAAGGATATTTTCTATACATTCAAAGACAAGCTTGAGGTGTCTCTTGGCTCTGATATGATTAAGCAATTGGTGAGTGGCATGGAAGGGTTGGACCCGCGAGCTTGGGCTAAAAGCATTTCACGTAGCTTAAGTTCTAGTCTGACTGTGTTTATCATAATTTTGATGCTCGCAGTCTCGTGTCGCTTCTATAGGAAGCTAAGAGATAATGAAGATAGACCATGTTGCCTCCGTGACATTATTAAATCTTAAACGTAACCCAGAAAGGGGAAATGTGGGACACTAGCACTAAAGGAAATAAAACTGGGACTTAATCCCTGACATGTACAGAGGGAATCTGGAAAGCCAGTGTTCCATGGTAGGAAAGCCGCCACTCTGGTAGTTGGAGATATAGTCCAAGTACATTTTCCTGCGATAATCTATTTTTTCCACAGTTTCTCCCTCTAAAGCTGTGCTGCCTTAAAGTGAGCACATGGTTGATTCATTCTCCCTATCGAGGCAGACATTCCTATTTGCTCCTTTTCTTCCCGCCGTGGCATCTAGCCCCTCTCAAACCCTCCTCCAATAGCAGATGGGCATAGGGGGTCTTTATCCTCCAGGCCTGGATTCAAAACGTTTACCATAAGCCTGAATTTTTCGCTATATTAATTGGATCATGTTTTGCCTTGACAGCTTTCAATGTATAGAGAATAACCATGTAGCCACTGTGGCTCTTTTGAATTTTATATATAAAACAAAAGGGGGAATTATGGGAAGCAGAAGGATTTCTCCCAAGTTGTCTCCCCCAAATGTATGCCAGACTTAGCTGCTTGCGAATGACTATACACTTGGAGGTCATCAGGAGTAGCCATCTAGAGCAAGCAGACACCAGTTTGTCCCACAACAAACAGGGCCCACTCCCTTCTGATAAGGATAGTAGTTGTCTGTTTCCTTGTAGGAGACACCAGAGCTCAAACCCGCCCAAGGATGACCAAGGTTAGGTTGCCATCATGAATCTAGGGTCCGCCCATCTTGTCACATGTATACCCCTAGACCTTCCCATTCCTATGGGCACACCCCTAGCTCATCCCCTTCCTGTTCTACTTATGCCTATCATACATCCCCCTCCTATGATGTGTATGCCTATTGTACTGCCCCTTCCTGTGACGTGATTCTGAAAACGTGTCCCCCTAAAGAGATATAATGATTGGTTAGCAATAAAGAAAAGGCTCCTCGGTTCTCAGGTTCTGAGACTGTTCCTGCTCTCGTGGCCGGGTTCCCCTCATGAGGACCACCAAGTGGGACTGAGGTGAGCAATGCTACCATGAATTGTGTCTGACTCCATTACTTGACTATCTTTTACCTCTCATGCTCTCTATGACTGTACTATAATCTTTACTTATTATCGCTGTACAATTGCGCCTACCGGACCTGTGATGATTTGTGGGGGACCCCCTGTCCCCTTTACCCCACAGAACCCCTCATATACCAGTTACGTCCAACACAAACACCCACTATACAAAGAGTAACATCGGTGACATCTCAGAAACAAATGTAGTTTCTGATAGTCTCCACGATTAAAAATAGAGCTAAGTACTTTCCCTTTCTTCACTCTTATTAAAGGTTATTTCTGGAATTATTTTCCATTATACAAACAAGGGAATTGGAGGATTTATTAAGTAGGCCACTCTACAGCTGGTAACACATGGCTTTGGCAAAATGGATGCTTTTCCTCCAGTAGGTTTTCAAACTTAAGCTAAGGACATTTCTGCTCTTTTGAGAATAAGTAGAAAAGAATTGGTAGTCAAGAAAGTTCTGATTAGATTCTTTCTTCATTATCTAGGGCTGTTTTAACAGAAATACAAGTGGATGACTTTGACAAACAAATTTCGAAGGCAAGAAGCACAAACTCAAATGCCTGCTCTAGAGGAAGGTTTTCTCTGTCAGCTCTAGGGAAAGGTCTTTGTCTTCTTTCAGCAACTGTCGGCACACCATTCCTTGGAATGTGTCGTGGTACCAATCTCCCCCTGGTTTTAGGAGCATCCTAGCACAAGGACCCCAAAGGACACATTCTACTCCTGGCTCTTGTGTGTTGGTGGTAGTAGGTCCCTATCTCTTTGCTTGTTTCTCTCACCTTTTTTATCTCTTGTAAGATAAAAGGTGATGCAGGCCACACTCCATGAAAACTGCCCTTGTGTTGGATTAGGTCTGTGTATTTTCAAATGTGTACCCTTGTGACTGGCACATGTTAAGAATTTTAAAAAAAATTGTGCCAAGTGAAGGAATGAAAGAAACATGAACAATTTTCCAAAATAAAGCGGGAATGTGGGATTCAGCATCCAGAGGCTGAGTGGGGTGTTTTAGCCTACCTTAGACCCCTTACATCACATCACAGCTAATCACATCAGGCCATGTCATGAGCGATGATCACATCATTACATAACTGCCAAACCACTGAGAATCATGGTCCTGCAAAGTTGACATCTTATTTTTGAGGGACACAATTTAATCCATGACAAATACCTTAGCAAGAGGCTTTTGTAACGCTCCCTTAAGAACGGAATTCCTATTGGCCAGGAAAAGGGAAGTCGAGCCCATCATCATGCTAGGTTGTTGTTAGGTGTTGTTGATTTGGTCCCAAGGCAGCAGTGACTCCATGAACAACTGAACAAAACACCGCCCAGTCTTGTGCCATCGCAGCCATCATTCCTGCTTGAGCCCACCGTTGCAGTCACTGTGTCAGTCTACTTCTTCTTCACGGACTTCCCACTTTACAAACCATGACATCCTTCTCCTGGGTCTCTCCTGATAACGTGTCTAAGTATGTGAGACAAAGTCTCATCATCCTTGTTTCTATGTAACATTCTGGCTATAGTGGTTCGTAATAGGCACAATTTCTTTTTCACCTCAAGTCTCTAATCCACTAACAGGCACACACTATACAGTTCAAACACTTTTAATAAACTCACATTGCAATGATGAAGTGATAAACAAAGTCAGAACACAAAATGGGGAAAGATTCATTAATGGACTCTCAAGGTTCTAAGAAGAAAAATGGCCCAGAAGCTATATCGCATATTTACTTAAATATCATATTGCCCTGGCCAAATTTCTAAAACATTTACAGAAATAGTGATAAGTGGACTTATTTAAGTTTAATGATGTGTATTTTCAAATGTGTACCCTTGTGACTGGCACATGTTAAGAATTTTAAAAAAAATTGTGCCAAGTGAAGGAATGAAAGAAACATGAACAATTTTCCAAAATAAAGCGGGAATGTGGGATTCAGCATCCAGAGGCTGTGAAAGATGAAGGGACAGGTCATAGAGAAGTATCAGTGTAGTACTGAGGTAGCTTGAAAGAGATAAGAGCGCTTTTAGCAAAGCTTCCTAACTCATTAAATTGATAAATATGTCTCCCTCTCCCCCACCCCAGTACTTTTTTATTTTTAAGGTAGGTTGGAACCCTATCTGGAATTGTGTATCATATTTATGGAAAAGGTTTTTAAAAATACTTTTATCGGGGGCTCTTACATCTCTTACCACAATCCAAATATTCCTCCAATGTGTCAGGCACATTTGCTGCCATCATCATTTTCAAAGCACTCTCCTGTCACTTGAGTCCCTGATATCAGCTCCCCATTTCTTCCCCTTCCCTCTCCCACCCACCCTCCCTCATGAACCCTTGATAAGTTATAGATTACTTTTTCCATATCTAACATCGTCGGAAAATATTTTTTATATGAAGTTGAATATTGCATAACTGATTGAAACATTTCTTCATAAGTAACTGTAAGATGAACATTCATCCAATATAGAAAATCCTTCAAGAATTACAATTGTATAGCAAGAAAGCGGTGTTTACTATGATTTCTAAAAATCTTGCATCTCTTTACTTTTCAGGAACATTTAGCATTTTTATCGTACTCTGAAATTTTACAACAGAATAAAGTAAGCTTTTGAAATTATCTTAATTATCAAACCAAAAGATTTTCTAAAACCTTATGATTTGTAGTCCAATCAATTTAAACTTACCAGATTACTTAAAGACTGTTCTCTGTATTTTAATTGCTGTTTTTTTAAAAAGCTTTTAATTACCCATTTTCTAATATTTTATATTCAGATTTGTCTGAAGTTTGAATTTTTTCAAGGACATCCTAATGAAATTATATAGTCCAGATCTGATATTATTGGCTAATATTAGTATTGCTAAATATATTTTGGTGCCCTTTTTTTTTTGAAACATGTCTCTTAAGTGTCTGTCTTTTAAAAGACCAAATAAACATTTTGTGTTAAGTAAATTCACAAATTACTCTAAGAGATTTCTGGAAACATTATCTAGGCTAGAAACATTATTTAGGTAGCTCAATGGCAAATTCTTGTTACTTGAGTGAGATAATCCACACACTTGCTCTGTGTGATACCCACCCTCTGGAAAAGTTACACATCTATAGAACATTGTAAAATGTTTTCTCATTGGCCTAGCATCTGATGTGCTTTTGTTTAAAGGAAGATTCCGTGATATTAAAAAATTATCAAATGGGAGAAAAAAAGGTAAGAGAGGTAAGGCAAGTTGTTACTGAGTTCCCAGTTAGACAGTTAACTAATTTACTGTAGTCAACATCTCAAGGCTACCTAAAACTTATTTGGCTTGCATTCTGGGTGGCATCCTGCAATCCTTTAAATTTATTTTTTATTTTTTAGTGGCCTCTTTGTGCTGTTGACATAGAGTTTGAGTTGAAATTCTTACCTCCTCCTTGCAGTTTGCATTTGACGGCTATCCAAAAGGTCCACGGTTTGAACCCACTAGCTGCTCTGCCAGAGAACGATGTGGCAGTCTGTTTCCGCAAAAATTCACAGCAGTGGAGCCCCTATGTGGGAGCCCCGCTCAGTCTTACTGGATCGCTATGAACTGGAATCAACTCAAGGACAATAGGTTTTGGTTTGGTTTTAGATACATATTTATATACATAACATATACATACACGCACTTACACTTTGGATTAGTTAACAACTCTAGTACCAAGGAAAATAAAAAACACAGAATATATTTTAAAGATCAACACATAAACCTGTTTGGCCATGGCCCAAATCCACTGTCACTGAGTTGATTCCAACTCACAATGACTTTATAGGGCAGAGTAGAACTGCACTGTAGGGTCTGCCAAGCTGTGAATCTTTGTGGGAGTAGAAAGTCTCATCTTTCTCTCTCCCTCTGAGTCGGAGGTGGGTTAGAACTGGAGACCTCGCAGTTTGCAGCCCAATTCATATCCAAGTACGTCACCGGGGGTCCTTTGCTTGATCAAAAATGAAAATATTAATGAAATCGGCAAATTTAAAAAAAATTTAAGAAAAATAACTCAGATAACATTAATAGGAAATAATTAATCTTCACAAATTTCTTCTAAAAGAAGACAAACTTGGCAAAGTGAAAGAGAACAATGAGAATTCTGAATTATCCTTCAAAAATCTGGGAGTTCAGATGCCTTTTATACGAAACCTTTCAAAAATAAAATTTTTAGAAATATGATTTACCAGAAGCACCACTATTGCCAAGTATGCTACTAAAGGGGCAATCTTTATCATTAACTTTGTGGCAAGATCAGCATGGACCCAGTTTCCACATCTCTAAAAGACTGATGTCACTTTCTTGCATCACTTCCTCCATCACTTTAGCCACTCAGACTCAAAAATACTCACTGCCATCAAGGTAGTTCCAACTCACAGGACCCTATAGGATAGGCTAGAACTGTCCCTTTGGATTTCTTAGGCTAAAGATCTTTAGTGGGGTAGAAAGCCTTCTCTTTCTCCAGAAGATCGCCTGGTGGGTTTGTTAATTCTGGATAAAAAACAAACTCACAAACTCGCTGCCATTGAGTAGATTCTGACTCATAGAAGTCCTACAGGACAGGATAGAACTGCCTCAGTAAGTTTCCGACCTCTTTACAGAAGTGGAAAGCCCTGTCTTTCTCCCACTGAGTGGTTGGTGGTTTTGAACTGTATATGGGCTCAAAAATGCACAGAAACTATTACCTATTCCTACAGTTACCCATTTATTATAAGCAGAGGATACAGCCAAGAGCTGCATCAGGTAAGGCCTTAGAGCGTTACTGGCTTGGGGCGTCCAGTACCTCGAGGTGCTTTGACAATAAGCCCAGAAAGCCCCAAGAGAATTTTAAGGCCCAGGGTCCTTTAGTCACTGGGATCACAAGTAATATGCACGATTGGGGCCTTAATGCATAGTAATGATGGATTCAAGCAACGAATATACATGACTGCAACATGTCCCCTGCCTTCCTGAAGTAAATTCTTCAGGTGTGTGCCTGATGGATATTGGAGAACAAAAAACATCATAATTGTTCAAGCTATTTTCCAAATCTGATTAAAAAGCTAAGTCTTGTTCTTTGTCCAATACAGGGCCTATAACTTTTTTAGATTACAGTAAACTCTTAAATATTAAGTCTATTCACCAATATAAACCCTTAGCTTAAACATTCTATTTTTATTTCAGTATGATGAAATCCGTATTGAATTTCTCCCAAGAAGGCAAGGCCTTTACCATTATGAAATTTCCTACTTCAACAAAGAACAAGATAATTTCTGCAGATGCTAGAAAGGTCATAGAGAAAAATTCTTATATGAACTTTCAAATACAAAATCATCTACTCCTTAATGAAAAAGTATGCATATGAATAGAAGGAATCTTTAAAAAATATTATTCCGATTACTTCGTTCGAACAGTCACTAAATGTCATTGTTCTTAACAAAACAAGAACGTTTGTTATTAACACTATTGACGTGACATTATTCAAGAAAGAACCACGAAGGCGGAAAAGTCATACACTATTTGCAGATTTACAGCCATCCAATTATTTACAGAGAACATTACCGTCTACCTAGAAAGATCCGATTAAAAACCTGCAACAAAACATGGGTCCATATGTTATGCGTCTGTCACATACACACAAAAACCCAACACTTGCATAAATACCTGCATCAAGCAGCTCAATCCCGTCACAACGCGCAGCCGTAGGGCAAAATCAATGAGGAACGAGGACTCCGTCACAAACGACGTGCAGGGAGCTCCGGGAGGTTTGCAAAGCAAGCGCAGCGGACTCCGAGGCACCAGCCTGGGAGGCGGCGCCAGCTCCGAGCCCGCCCTCGGGCCGCGGCTCCGCGGACGACTCGCTCGGCGCTAGGCCCCGCACTCCCCGCCCCGTCGGGTACGTGCCCGCCCCGTCACTCACGCTCCCATTCCGTACTTACGCGCCCCGCGACGTCGGGCACGCTCTCGACCCTTAACCTGAGCGCGCAATGCCACGCATTCGCTCCGTCCCTAGCGTACGCGCCTCCACCCCTGCCCCGTCAGACCTGCTCCTACCCAAGAACGCACGGGCTAGTCCTGTCCCGCCACCGGGTAAATGCCCCTTGGCAGCCCTTACCGCCCCGCCCTATGCCCCAAGAGCACGTCCCGCCTACGTTATCTAGTCCGGGAGCCGCGAACCTTCCGCCCACGAACACAATCGTGGCACGCGTACAGACATAACAGAATCCTTCCGCGTTGGGCGGACCGCAGCGCGTGGCCTCCTGGGAACTGTAGTCCTGGCCCGACACTCGGCGCGAGTCCGGTCTTGGCGCTCGGAGGTCCGGGCCCGCGCGCTCTGTGCCCCACCTCCTTAAAGCTCCGGCGGCTGCTCGGTGGTCGCAGGGTTGCGGCGCCAGGAGACAGGCACCCCAAAGACAAGTGAGCTGTGGGAGCTCGTCCGCGCCGCCCGGCAAGAGAGGAGTGATGGGAGCGTGGGGTCGATAACTAGTGCATTCGGGGCAGGAATCGGTAAGTGCGCGCCCACGGGGTCCCTGTCAGCCTGTGGGCCGGGAGCGCCAGACACACCGGGGCTGCGGGATGGAAGTGGCGTGGTCCGAGCCCCGCACACAAAAGGCTGTGGAAGAAAGTTTTCCACTCACAGGTTCTAAAACGGGGGACCTGGGCCAGGCAGCGTAGCCCTCCGGCCCAAGCCAGGAGCAGCGGGCACCCGTGGCCTGCAAGGGGTCCGGGGTGGGGGGGGTCATAGCTCTCGCAGCCTTAGCCCTGACCCAGAAAAGCAGGGTCCTGAGTGCCCGCCGGACCCTGGATGCCTGCGTGCTGGTCCAGCCTGGGTCAGCAGCAGCTTGGAAGGGCCGCCGCTGGTCCCTCGCGCCCTGCAGCCCAGAAGAAAAGCCTGGCGCCCTGCCTCCGAAAAGATCACCTTCCCACCCCTAGGTTTGGAGGGCCTGACCTGAAAAGAAAACGGGGTTCTGAAGAACTGAGCTGTACCCGGGAGCGAGAGGGAGGCAGTGCAGAGTCGCAGTCAGGGCATGGAGTGCAGCCTTATTTTGTGAGAAGGGCAAGCAGCGTGTGTATTTTCGTCACTTTTCCTGACCCTGGATTGTCCTCCTGGTCTATTTAGGTTGAGTCACAGTGATCGTTGTTTTTCTGCTTTTTCAATCATTCTCTCAGTTAAACACTGCTTGAATATGATACTCTACTTTTGGTGCACTGCTGTATTCAAAATTAACATTGCTGTTTAATCTTCTTTATTCATACCATCCATGCCCAGTTTTATTTACAAGATTGCACAAATCTCATGAATAATCTGGACAGCCTAGCTTTTTCGCTGTTCTGTGAAACGATTTGCTTAGGAGAAATTCTTTTGCCCTAGTGAGTTCGGTACAATTAGCCCATAGATCTTGAACTCAAAATGTTTGTGGGCAGGTATATGATTTCAAGTTTTAATAGTTGTGTAGTTCCTACTCAGTCAATTCTTGGTATTTATACTTTTCTAGAAAATTGTTCACCTGAGATTTCATACATGATATAAAATTATTTATAATTTAATGGTAATTTTAAGGCATTGATATTTTGGATTTCCCCCCCCAACAGTTTATTGGCATATCATCCACATGTCATTCGATTCAATAGTTTAGCCACATCAAAAAGATTTGTGCAATCATCACCACGATCAGTTTCAGAAATTTCTTTTATACCATTGTTACTAGCTTCCCCATTTCTCCACAACCTCCACCACTGCACCCCCAAGGAACCGTTAATCCAATTACTGTCTCTAGATGTACCTAACCTGCATTTCATATACAGAAACAATTGACAAACAAGAATAACAAAAGAAAACATAAAAACAAAAAAACCCTGCAAATATTAATAACTAGAATAAATTTAAATGGATCATAAGGGAGACAAATGATAGGGTGCTAAAGTTTAACCCGTCTGCATCTGCAACAACATAGATATTTTGTGTTACTTTCAAATTACTGCTGCAACTATCCTTTGTTGTTTTCCTTTTCTGTTTCTATTATTTATAGCCATCTTTCCCCACCCCCACCCCTTAGTTTATCCTGTAAGATATGTCTATATTAGTTTTTCCAAAGTAGTAGTTTTTAGATGTTTCTGTGATTTTTGTTTTTTTCTCATTAGTTAATTGCTCTTAAATTTGTCTTAGTCTTTTAAATTACTTTGCTGCTGCTTTTCTCTATGCAGAATTGATTACTAATTTGTTTGCTTTCTTTTTAATTTTTTCACCGTCAAGAAATATGTAACATATATACTCGAGTATAAGCAAACCCAAATATCAGCCGAGGCACCAATTTTACCGCAAAAATGGCATAAAAATATGCTGAAAAATGGCTTATACACGAGTATATACGGTACATAAACTTAAAGCCATCAACTGACTAGTACAGCTTATCAGCAGCAGCTAACTTAATGGTTGTCAGTTCAAATCAAAGCAGCCAGCACTGCAGAATAAAGGCCCGGTGATCTACTTCTGCAAAGATTATAGCTATGAAAGTTCGATGGAGCCATTGTACACATTAGGTCGGCATGTGTTTGGTTTTGGTGGAGTTATGTTAAAAAGGTCATAGTCAAATAGGAAGCCCTTCCCTCCCCTGTTTCTCCAGCACTTTCAGACAATGAGATAGTTAAGTTCTGTCTTTGAACTGACTCTATATTTTTATTAATCCATTTGTGACCATTTTAAATCTTAGTATAATATATGAGAATTTTGGCTATTATATCCTACCTTTTCCACCCATATCCTTAAAACTCCATATTGCAAACGTTGTGCTGTTTTTTTAACAGTGTTTGCAAATATATGTATATTCCATATTTCATGATAACTATGTAAATTGCCTTACTTAGTGAGATGTTTCTCTCTTGTATAACATTGCTTTCTTGGTTTAAATGATTGTCCTTTTTATTATTCATTTGATAAGTTTTCCTTAAACTTTGTAAAATGCCTCTCAATTCCAATTTTCTCCTGGTCAAGCCTGTCAGGCAATCTTAATAATTTTCTTTTTCCTGAACACATAACTGCTATCCTCATAAATTTTAGATTGATCAGTTATTTGTTAACAATTATAAAATAAGATACAGAAAGACCTCAACTCAAAAGAAAGCAGAAAATAATGAGAAGTAGAGCAAATTTAAGAAGGGTTAAAAGGGAAAACAAATGATAAAGTGTTAAAAAATCTCAATCTAACTACATCACCCTTACTCTACATTCTAATGCACTCTATTTCATAACAAGGCTATACACATCCCTGGTCAATGGTCAGGGGATTCTTCAGAGGCTTAATCCATATGGGGGTACTGCCAATAGATTTTGGTCATGCACTGTTATATACAACCTTCTGCAAACCAGTTGCTCACAATTTAAGCTCTAATGCCATTCCCTCTTCCAGTCTTAGATTTTATTATTTACAGTCCTTGGATCACACAAATTGGTGTCCTTTTTTTCTATGGAGCTGTCACCTCACTTAGATGGCTGCTTGTTTTAAGACAACCCTGTAAGGCTCCAGATACTCTTTCTGCTAGGCAAACACCACTTGATTTCTTCACCATACTTTTTTATAGCACCCACATTTTCATTGATCTCTTCATGAGGACAAGTATCGAGTAGGGCCATGTCATAAAAACTAATTGTTCTTAGATTTGGGCTTACAATTAAATGTGAGCTCCAAATCCATTCATATATCTACAGTTTAGATCACACTTAAGTTTTAGAAATAAATTATAAGAAAATGTGGCCTTTTGAGAACAAGCCTAAATTGGAGCATTCCTAAATAAGATGAACACTTATTTAAGAAATACCTACCTATCTTTCTCCTACTGTTTCAGAAGTCCTATTCACCATATGAAAGGTCATTCATTTAAATAAAAAGTTCTCTACAGAACAAATTTACAAAAAAAGTGTTAAATGAGAAACCTATCTTGTTTTCAAAAAGTTAACAAAAAGTTGCAAATTGTATATGAAATTTGATTTAACGGCCAAGTATTTTTGACTATTTTTCTTTAGCTTTTATCTTTCTTTTAAAAAATAGCACTTGTTCCTTCCATCCAAGGCTAACAAATAGCTTAAAGGGGATGGCAGTTTTAGAAAGAGGGTTGGAAGGTGGGTTCAAACTGTAGACTTTACAGTTAGCAGTCAAACATTTACCCTGCTGTATACCACCAAGGATCCCGAATATGACTGTACTGCATATTAATACAAATTGTAATGAAGATTTTAAGTTGGCAAGACTTCATTGGGAGGTGGAGGATTTACATATTCCCTTCAATGGGGCTGTCTTTCTATAATTCTTCTTTAACTGAACTTGCCTCTTTGGCTACAGGAAGAATACCTGCAGAAACATAAAAAACTAATCTTGCTGGACCAGAGAAACAAGAAGAGGAACATTTTGATGTTTGCCCTGTTAAGGCACTCACATTTGGATTCACAGGATGGCAGCCATTGACCTGTCTCCAAGATGGGCTTTGCCTGTACCACACTCTGCCTGTTTGCATATTGGACATAATGAGGAGAAAAACATGGCTGCAGGATTTCTAACAACCTGGTTACAGAAACCAATCACTTTCAAAGATGTAGCTGTGGAGTTCACACAGGAGGAATGGCTAATGTTAGACCCTACTCAGAGAAATTTGTACAGAGATGTAATGTTGGAAAATTACAGAAACCTCACCTCACTGGATTATCAGTTCTGCAGACCAACTCTAATACCTAGATTCGAACAAGAAGAAAGAACTCTGAAAGGCAGGATTTCCCCAGGCACCAGTCCAGACTGGCAGAATCAGCTTAAAACCAGAGAATCAAATCATACGCAGAATAAGCTTTGTGAAAAAGCATCTAAAACGGTAACACTCACAATGGATGATAAATGGTCCTTTATATTAGGAGATAAATGGGAAAGCCCTAAGATTGGAAAAAAGCACAGGATCTCAGAGGAACAGCTAAGGCGAGTGAATTTAACCCAACAGCAAGCAGCATCTCAAGAGAGGTTCTGTGGCTATCATGAATTTGAGGAAAACTCTGAACTTAACTCAAAACTTTCTTCACTGAAAATTTCCACTAGAAAACTTTCCAGTAAATGTGATGTAGATATTGAATGTCTGAATCATAATTCAAACATAAACAGTTATCAGAAACACTTTGTTTGTGAGAACCTCTGTGAACGACAAGATTACAACAGAGCTTTATGGCATCTTGAAACAACTCAAACAGCACAAAAAGAGGGTACACGTTCCAAATGGGGTATATACATCCAACACGGTATATTTCCTACACATAATTTCCCCACTATGGAGGATTCCTATGCATGTAGTAAAAACAAAATCTCTCATCATTCATACCTTAATCAACAGGAAAAAACCCATACTGAAGAGCAACAATGTAAATGTAACCAGTGTAGAAAATCATTCAGAAGGAATTCTAATCATATTTTACACAAGAGAGGTCACTTGAGTGAGAAACATTATGGATGTAAGGAATGTGGTAAAATCTTCCATGATTCCTCAACTTTAAGGAGGCACGTGAGAACGCATACAGGAGAAAAACCCTATGAATGTAATCTATGTGGGAAAGCTTTTAGTCAGAAAACATCTCTCAAGTCTCATGTGAGGACTCACACAGGAGAGAAACCTTATGATTGTAATCAGTGTGGCAAATCTTTTGGCACAAGCTCTTACCTTATAGTTCACAAGAGAATACACACTGGGGAGAAACTCTATGCATGCAGTGAATGTGGAAAAGCCTTCAACACAAGCTCTCACCTTAAGGTGCATAAGAAAATACACAGTAGAGAGAATATTTTTGCATGCAATGCCTGCGAGAAAGTTTTTAGTGGTCTCTCATCTCTCAGAATGCATGTGAGAACTCATACTGGTGAAAAACCATATGAATGTAAGGAATGTAGGAAAGCCTTCAGTGTTTCCTCTTCCCTTAGGAGACATGTGAGAACTCACACAGGTGAGAAACCCTATGAATGTGTTCAATGTGGGAAAGCCTTCAGTCAGAGCTCTTCACTTATCATACACAGGAAAATTCATATTGCAAGAGAAACCATTTAAATGTATGGTTATAAGTAGTGTATCAATGTCTTAAGGTAGACGCCAAACTCACTTTATTCTCTCTCTAGCCCTCTGAACACCTTTTTAGACATGACACATTTTTAATAATATTTTAGCTTTGGTTTAGTTATATTGCCTAATGTCTATTGTGACATTTTGATCTATGGGCGCTTTTGAATTATGTATCTTTCCCATGTGGGATATAAAGACTATTTAGTTATCTTTTTGATGATTTATAAGTTAACCTGCATTGTAGTCAGAGTAGCAGAGCTATATAACATTGCTTTATTGGTATCATCTTGTGAGTTGTTACGTGGCCCAGTGTGGCAGTTATTGCTAGTAGCCACACTGACCTTCCTTATTAATCCCATTAATTAATACCTGGAATTGGAACAGGTGAATGACAACCATGACTTAAGATGGTATAGAAGAAAGACTCTAGTTGCCACAAGGCCCCTTTAAGTAGCTACTCTAGTCCTGACTGCTTATGTTAGGGCATCCTTTTATGCAATAAAAATGAGCTTATTTTTAAAAGCAGTATAAATATGAATACAATCATCTGCTTTTTTAAAAGAAAAATTCGAAGACTACACCAGTGTGTTGAAATTACATATTTTATGCTGCATATACACATTATGATAGGAACAGTAGATGAGGAATGTTGATTAACTATTGTGCTTAAACAGAAGATATTTAGAACCAAGGTTCCTGAAAACAAGTCGTCAGAAAAGCAACTTAAGCATCAGAAATTCATAGAATTTTGTGAAAGTCATTAATTTCAAACACTAGGTAGAACTCTTGATACTAAGTTATTTGGTCTTGCAAGTCTGACCATTTTGGTTAAAATTTACTAAGAAAATATAATGGAAGTAGAGGTGACACTTGTACTCAAGTTAATTTTACACAGTAGTATTGACATCCATATAAACAAGCAGGCCTAGATTTCAAGAGGTTTCTGGGATGAGTTATAAATCAATGTTCATACAACATGTAAACTATAATAAACTATGGAGGGCAATAAGATTATATAAAGTAAGAATGGAGTAAATACCTTATACTGACCCCAATATTCCTTCATTTTAATGATAGGATAAAACAGAACCATAGAAATACGAGGAAACCCAGGAAGAGTGGAAGGTACAGTCAGTTTTAAATGCTCCCTAGATGCCAGAAAGTCTTAGAAATGAATGTACAGTAAAATGTGACAATTTTTGGTCATGTTAGTGGGAAATACTGCAGTGGTTGAGAATGGCTGCTAGATTGAGAGGAGTTTAGATATTTGAGTAACAGGAGAATGAGTAGCAGCTGGAGACAAGACTTGAGTTTTTAAATGAGAAATGATTAACATGTAAGCCCTAAAATGACGGAGCCAGAAGAAATTGGGATGACAGTTCTGGAGAAGGGCCTAGAGCTATATGGGGCACAAAAGAAATTAGATTTGCTATAAGAAGGGATAATTACACCTTTTGCAAGAGGCAAGAAGAAATAATTGCCTTTTATTTATATCTAAGTGAATTGTACTGTTTAAGAGTACCATGATTCATATTTAATATTCATTGGCATTGGGGTCGCTATCAACAGAAGTCTTGACTCATACCTGAATGCATATCTAGCACACTTTCTCTGTAAGGTAAACGCTAGCCTTCGTTGGTTTATTAACACCAAACAGCACTTCAACACTAACCTTGGGGCTCATCTCAAGCAGTGAAATCAGCACTACCAACAACAAAGCACAACAATATATACTAAAAATACCATGAAAGAAGGCAAAGCGTTATTAACATCACCTGGAAATGTGTTGGACAACTCAGATATTTCATCACTGTGGAAAGGAGCTCTCGTACATTAGTTAAAGCACTTAGCTTCTAACCAAACAGTGGCTCAAGGCCACCAAAGGGTGTATAAGATGTAGTAATCAGCTTCCATAGAGATTTACAGCCCTGGAAACCATATGTGGGTGTGCTAGAGGGTTGCTATGCTTCAGAATAGACTCCCCAGCAGTGAGTTTGGGGTATATTGTTGAGAAAGCATAATTTAAAAGCCTGTCACACAAACTCAACAATAAAAAAGAAACTTTTCTTATTGTCAAATCAAAATCTGATGTACAGCACGGGCAATCCGCTAAAGAGGTTGCAAAGACACACACACACACACACGCAAAAATGTGTCCTTTTATATAGCCAAGCAACCCAATTCATACACATTCTCAAGATGGGTACATGATAACACAATAACCAGTCCTCAAGGGTTCTGTAGTTCAGAATGTTGCATGGAATTTTAGGAACAGATTCTTAATTTTGGCAAAATGATTTTTGTATCATTTCCCTTGAAAGTTGGATTTGCTACTGGCAAAGGTACTATACCAGATGGCCTCATTCACCTGAACATTGGCCTCTTGTCACATCTTTCTCTATTATCTGTAACACTTGTCTTTCTTCAATAAAGAGGTTACATTTAGGTTAGCAATATAAATTCTTGCTTATGAGAAGAGGTTGGCCCTAATTTTTCAAATTACAGTGAACCCTGGCCACTTCGCGCTTCGACTTCCGCGGCTTCACTCTATCGCGGTTTTTGCGTAACAGCGCATGCTCTGTCATTATTGCCACTGATTGGCTCATACTGTACACGCTTCTGTCTGCAGCGCTACGTATCGGAGCTACGTATCAGATGCATTTTTGCTTTTGTACAGTAAATAATTGTTTGCGATTTTTAAGAAATTTTATCTAAGCCCTATGATGGCTCCTAAATGAGCTGCTTCTTCTAAGCCTTCTGACAATAAAAATAAGCGCCAGAGGAAGATGCTCACCATCCAGGAAAAGGTAAAACTTTTTGTATTTTCCCTTTTTTGTTTAATAAATTGGGTAATACGAGTGTAATGGTGACTAAAGGGTGTTTTTTCATGTCCTCTATGCTCTAACTACGAAAATATTTGATTTACAAATAAGGAATCCTACTTCGCGGAATTTCATTTATCACGGTAGGGTCTAGAACCGATTAACCGCGATAAACGAGGGTTCACTGTATATTTCAGCCTATTCTGTGAGCTCCGGGTGTCATGTTCCTTCCAACTCAGGTTCTTGCCCAAGTTTTTTCCTACATCTGGGCCACTTACCTTCATTGTCCAGATCAGGGGTCATCAAACCAGTCAGTGAGCCTAATCTGGCTTTAGGTCTGCCTTTGTATAGCCTGCATGGTAACAGTGGTTTCCACATTTCAACATAGTTTTCAGGGGGAAAAAAGTAAACATTTGTGACACATTTAAATTATGTGAAATTCAAGTATCAGTGCCCTAAAATAAAGTTTGTTGGGACACAATCATACTAATTTGTTTTCATATTACGTAAGGTTGCTTTATGCTATACTGGCAAGTGTACTTACAACAGGCATTAGAACCAAAATCAAAACAGAGCCAGGCTATGAGTCAATTCCAACTCCTAGTGAATCCATAGGACAGAGTAGAACTGCCCTTTGGGTTTCTGAGACTATTAATCCTTTATGGGAGTAGAGAGCCTCACCATTTCCCCAAGGAGCAGCTGGTAGTTTCAAACTGCTGACAATATGGGTAGCAGACAAAAATGTAACTACTATACTACCAAGGCTCCTAACAGAAATGTCCCACAAAATCTAAACTATTTACTTAGCACTTTCATTTAGAATTGGTGGTCTCCTAGATAATTTTTACTTAGCTTCAAGTCTGTTTATATAATAATTCCTGTGCCAAGTTCTCTGTCAGATGACTTCTATCCCCATAATTTTATTAGATCACCTAGTTAATACATTTTTACAACAATTTGTATTTTTGTCATAAAATCTCTGCGCAAAGTAATGGGCATATGAAATACTTCCGCCATATTGCAGAGTGAGTTGAAGTTGGCCTGGCCTAAAAGTTAAGCAGCCTGCTCTAAAATAAACTTACCCGAACATTGGTCGCTGGCATCTGGAGTTTGTATACACTCCTTATGTCTATGTACTATTCTTATATTGCTGCTATAGGAGTGGGGGGGGGGGCATCTTTGACCTCTCTAACTAAAGGAAGGCATTCTTGACTCATTCTAATAAATTCTAGGTGTTACTGATTGAACCCCAAGCCACAAAAGAGTTGAAATCCTAACTCCTGTCCCTGTACTTCGGTTTTGTTATGCTAATGAGGCCATAAGTGGAGGGGGTATCCTATACCAAACCACTTTTTAAAAATGTTTCTTTTTGACAGTTTTACCAACATATAGTTCACATATCTTACATTTCAATAGTTTAATCACCTTCATAAAAGCTGTAAAACCCCCACAAACAATTCCAATACATTTCTTCCTACTTATCCGTTAGCTCTGTTTCGTATAAGCCTTCCCTGTCATGTCCCTTTGAATCTATTAATCCAGTTGTCTGGATTAATACTAGTCTCATATCCCAGTACTTTTGATATTGGATATGAAACTCTGACACACAGACAAGCAAGAATAAAGATGGGAAGACAAGCGCATGTGAAAATGACCATGTTCACACCTCAGCCCATAAATATAAAGGTGTGCTTCTCATCACTGTTTCATACAGATAACACTCTTTCAGAATAATCAGTCTATCCAATACAATACACAAAAAGTTGGGAAGCATCAAAATGTTCACAAAAATGGCTTATATGATGGAAAGTTCGATGAAACAAAACTCTTTTGATAATGCATTTAGAAATGTAATCCATGTAAATAAGACTCGAGTAAAACTAATAAATCCTACCTCTGACTACATTACTTAAGAAATATCTAATATGCTCTACAGATGGGACCACAAGGTGACCACTACATTAATTCTCAAGTCACTCCTATCGTATCCTTTATTTATAAAGTCACAATCTGCTCACACTGATGGTGTAAACTTTGCTGGCAGGGCAGCTGCTATGGTTTAAATACACCAGTAAAAAATGTTATAGTGGAGGGAGGGTGGGGTGGAAAGGGGGGACCGATTACAAGGATCTACATATAACCTTCTTCCTGGGGGACGGACAACAGAAAAGTGGGTAAAGGGAGACATTGGACAGAGCAAGATATGACAAAATAATTTATAAATTATCAAGGGTTCATGAGGGGGGGAGAGCGGGGAGGGAGGGGAAAAGATGAGGAACTCATGCCAGGGGCTTAAGTGGAGGCCAAATGTTTTGAGAATGATAGGGCAGTGAATGTACAAATGTGCTTTACACAACTGATGTATGTATGGATTGTGATAAGAGGTGTATGAGCCCCTAATAAAATGATTAAAAAATGTTATAAATTCAAACCTCTATGTCTACAGTTATAATCCCATTTTGGTAATTTTTAAAAAATAAATCATTTTATTGGGGACCCTCACAGTACTTATAACAATCCATACTTCAGTTGTATCACACATATTTGTACATATGTTGCCATCATCATTTCCAAAACCTTTCTGCTTCAGCCCTTGGTAGCAGCTTTTTTTCCCCTCCTCCCCGTACTCTCTCAACCTCAAAACTCTTGAAAATTTATGTTATTTTTATATTCATATTTTACATCATCACTGTTTCCTTTCACCCACATTTCTGTTGTTTGTCCCCCTGGGGAGGGGGGTATACATTGATCATCACGATCGGTTCCCATTTTCTTCCCCTTACCCTCATGGTATCGCTCTCTCATTATTGATCCTGAGGGGTTTATCAGTCCTGGATTCTGTGTGTCGAAAGCTCTTCTCTACACTAGTGCACATGCTCTGGTCTAGCCAGATTTCTAAGATAGAACTGGGGTCATGATAGTGGGGGGCAGGAAGCATTATCAAACTGGAGAAATCCTGTGTGTTTCGTCATGCTATACTGCACCCTGGCTGGCTCTTCTTATGACCCATTTTGAGGGGATGTCCAATTGTCTACAGCTAGGCTTTGGGTCTCCACTCTGACCCACCTCATTCACATCGAAATGGTTGTTGTAGGTCTTCTGCTGCATGATATCTGATCCCATGGACACCTCGGGATCACACGGGTTGGTGTGCTCCTTCCATGTGGGTTTTGTTGCTTCCCTGCTAGATAGCCACTTATTTAACTTCAATTAGTAATGCTTTCTTTGGTTCATTAATGAAGTATGATTGGTAGGTCGTTTGTTGAATCAATCTTTTTCGAAATGACAGAGATTAACATTAAGCAAAGCTGAGATAGTGCACAAGAGATGCCAAGCCATATGAAGGTCACCCAGGAGCAACAACTCAGAGACAAGGAAGGGCCTTCCTGAGCTGGCACCTGAATCCACACAGCTAGCCTCCTACACTGGAAACAGTAACGTGTCTGCTAAAGTGAACCATTTGTGCTATTTCTACAATACCAGCATGAGATAACAATGCCAGAAGTTTTTAATAGTTGCTTAGAGAACTCTTTTCACTATAAATGAAATGAGGAAAACTACTTTGCCATTTTTTTGTGATGGCTCCTATATATATTTAGTTCAGACCGATTAAGAAATGCCTTTACTTATAACTAAGAATAAACTAAGGATTCCCATGACCTTAAATCCAATATTTTCTCAAAATCTTATCTCACACTGATACCTAAAATATTCCTATAGTTATGTTCGTACAGTGTTTCTACAAACACCTACTACTCTTCATTGATATAGTGATAATCGCATTTCAGAACCACATGCTGTGGGAAAAAATTCAAGAACAATATAAATTCATTATAAACCAAGAGATTTATTCAAACACTTCTAAATATGCTTTAAGAAAAAAAGTAAAACACAACACTTTCCCACCCCAAGAAGAAAAAAAAAAAACCTCCCTCCAGTATGACTTCCCAGAACTCAAAGATTAAGCCTATTATAGTTTGTTTTTCCCTCACTATAATTCTCCATGAAAGTTTAAATATTTCAGAAACTCATCCATATGCACTTCATCTATAAAACTGCTTTCTCTACTATAAGAACTTTTTTCCCCTCTTGAGTGAACAAGTATATGATGGCCATCCTCAATGACTGTTAGTGTGATTTTGTTTCAGTATAAATTTTCTGATGTCCAGGAGAAAGGAAACCTTTCATAAAGCTCATTCTTTTCCCATGAGTTCTGCCGTTACGTTTATTGGACGCAGGTACGATTTTTCCTGGTGTGAAGTCACAACCTAAAGGAGTTCTGTAAGATGAAAATGCTTCTTAATGTTTATCCATCTCATCTGAAGTCGCAAGGTGTGTGTATGTGTGTCTATTAACGCTTCCCTACATAGTGCTCAGGATTTTCTCCATAATGGTTTCCGTATATTGAATAAGGTATGAACCACATGTCTTCTCACTGAACACATGTAATAGAAGGCTTCTTTCCAAGAGTTTTCTAGTCAAAGCAAGGCATTAACTGCTTGTGTTTATTTGTTGGTCTTTTGGGTTTTTTGCTTTGATCATCCACCTTGTTAGGCTTCCTCTACAATGTGGATTCGTTGTTCTGTAAGGAATGTGTGGTAATTAAATGGATTTTCATATTCATAAGGGTTCTCTAGAATGTGTGTTCTCTGATGCTTTGCAAGGTTTGAGCTCCAACTGAAGGGTTTGTTACATGCCTTACATACATAGGGTTTCTCTCCAGTATGCGTTATCTGATGTAGAATGAGGGAGAAGCTCCGACTGAAGGTTTTGTCACATGCAGTACATGCATAAGGGTTTTCTCCGGTATGAATTTTCATATGTTGAGTAAGGGATGCATGCCAAGTGAAAACTTTACCACATTCATCACATTCATAGAGCTTTTCTCCAGCATGAATCCTCTGGTGTTTAACAAGGAATGAATGGCAACGAAAGGCTTTTGAACATTCATTACATTCATAGGGTGTTTTGGTAGTGTGAATACTCTGATGTCGAGTAAGGTGTGAGGAACGGCGAAATGCCTTTCCACATTCAATGCATTCATAAGGTTTCTCTCCTGTATGTGTAATCTGATGGCGAATGAGTTCTGAGCCACTGCTAAAGGCTTTCCCGCATTTTCTGCATGTGTATTGTTTCTTTCCCATGTGAATTCTCTGATGCCGAGTGAGGTTTGAGGCACGGCTAAAAGCCTTTCCGCATTCAGTACATTCATAGGGTTTCTCCCCAGTGTGTGTTCTTTGGTGTTCTATCAGGAATGAAAGATAACTGAAAGTTTTGTTACAATCTTTACACTCATGGGGTCTCTTTCCAGTATGTATCATTTGATGTTTCACAAGATTTGAGATCTGGCTAAAAGTCTTGCCACATTCCTTGCATACATAGGGCTTCTCTCCAGTGTGAGTCCTCTGATGTAACACAAGGGAAAAGCGCCTACTGAAAGTTTTCCCACATTCCTGGCATCCATATGGCCTCTTCACAGTATTGATGCTCATAGGTTGAGCGATGCTTTTTTTATGAGAGACTGCCACTTGCCTGGTACCTCCTTGACTTCTTTGCAGCACCTCAGTACCAGTCACACATTTCCAACTGGTTGTAAAACTTGAATCCTCAGGGCAATGGCTTAGAATTTTTTCCATTATCAAATACTGATATGACTCATCTTCATAAAAATCATTTTTTGAAGACAGTTCCTTGGTTTCACTATTTGATTCTGAAACTGAAAGATACCAAAAAACCAAGCAAATATTTTTTCTATGAGTATAATATGTAATTCCCACCAAAATGCCAACAGCTTTCTTTGCAGAAATAGAAAGTCAACCATCAAATTTTATATAACAGGGAAAGGAACCTCAAACTGTTAAAGCAAACTTGAAAAGTCATGTAGGAGGACCTGCCCTTCCTGATTCAAAAGATATTATAAAACCACAGTAAAAAAGCAAAAAAAACAAAAAACCCCGAAAACAGGTATAATAATACATATACAAATGAACTAGATTTGAAAATCCATAAATAAATCTGTACATCTATATGTATCTGAATTTTTACAAGAAAAATTCATTCAATGGGGAAGGAAGAATCACTTCAATAAATGGTGCTGGACAAGCTGATGTAGTGAGGAAAGCTGATGGTGCTCAGCTACCAAAAGATATAGCACCTGAAGCCTTAAAGACCTGAAGATAAACAAGCACCACCTAACCTAGCTGAGAGACAACAAAACCCACACGGAAGAAGCACACCAGCCTACCCCTGCTCGATCGCTGAGGACATAGGGGGTGCATTAGCAAAAGTGGGGAAGAAAGCAGATGGTGCACGGCTATCAAATGATACAGCATCTGGGGTCTTACAGGCTTGAAGACAAACAGACGGCCATCTACCTAAGAAACAACAAAACCCACAAGGAAGAAGCACACCAGCCTACCCCAACACGAATGCTGAAGACAAAGCAAGTACATAAGCAAATGCGGTGAAAAAAGCTGATGGTGACAAGCTGTCAAATTACACAGAATCTGGGGTCCCACATGCTGGAAGATAAACAAGGGGCCATCTAACAGAAACAACAAAGCCCACATGGAAGAAGCACACCAGCCTGTAAGATGACAAGGTGGCGAAAGGGTCAGGTATCAGGCATCAAAGACAAAAAAAATCATAACATTGTGAATGAGGGGGAGTGCAGAGTGGGGACCCAGGGCCCATCTGGGGGAAATTGGACATCCCCTTGCAGAAGGGTTGCGCGGAGCTGAGGAGCAAATCGGAATGCAGTGTAGCAACGATGAAATATGCAATTTTCCTCTGATTCTTAAATGCTTCCTCCACCCACTACCATGATCCCAATTCTACCTTGCATATCCGGCTGGACTGGAGGAGGTGCACTGGCACAGATAGGAACTGGAAATACAGTGAACCCAGGACAGATGAACCCCCCAGGACCAGTGGAGAGAGTGGCAATGAAGGGAGGGTGGAGGGAAGGAGAGGGAGAAAGGAGGAACAGAGGATAAGGTCTACATGTGGCCTCCTCCCTGGGGGACGGACAGCGGAGAAGTGGGTGAGGGAGACGTGGGATGGGGTAAGATATGATAAAATAATAATAAATTATAAATTATCGGGGGGAGCGGGGAGGGAGGGGGAAAAATGAGCTGACACCAGGGGCTCAAGTGGAAAGTGGGTGTCGTAAGAATGATGAAGTCAACATATGTACTAAAGTGCTGGACACAGATGACATATGTACAGATTGTGATGAGTTGTATGATTATTTAAATAAATACATAAATGGTGCTGGAAAACTTGGATCTCCACATGCAGAAGAATCTATTGGTATTCAATCCTTGCACCCACACAAAAACAATTTTCAGTGGGTTAAGGAGCTAAACGTAAAAACTAAATCCTTAAGATCTTTACAAGAAAATACAAGCATATGTTAGGCTAGTTTGCAATAATGGATTGTCAGATATGATAACAAAATCAGGAACAGCAGAAGACAAAACAGTTCAATGTGACCTAATACGAGTATCTACATTTGGATAGCACAAACAGGTAGCTCTTGACCACTAAGCAAAAGTTTTGTGATTCTAATCAACCCAACAGCTCCAATGAAGAAATTCTTGGTGATCTATTTTTATAAGTTACAGCTAAAAACACTGTAAGGAGTAGTTCTGATTCCAGAGCACATAGGGTCACCCTAAGTTGGAACTGACTCCATGGCACTGAAGACGAGGTCCCCAACTTAAGGCGACTCGATGCACAATGGAATGGAACACTGTCCGGTCTTGGGTCAGCCACACGATCAGTTTGGGATTGGACTTCTGTGACTTTCATTAGCTGCTTTTCAGAAGTTGTTCAGCAGGCCTTTCTTCCATGGCTTTCTTGGTCTGCAACCTCCACTGGACCCTGTATAGCATCACAGTGACAGGCCTCCATTAATGGTCGAGTGGTGGCTCCATATAAAGTGCACTGGCCAGTAGCAGGAGTCAGTTCTCCTACACTTAGGTCAAGAATTCAACTGCTGCTACCACTACCTCAATTTGGGATTTTATGATTCACCAAAGGGTTTTTTCAACACAGAGAAGAGACACCTACACACGAAGAGAAAAATCTTAAGAACCTTATATCCAATAATTATTCATTAAGAAGGTGCTAATTAAAACCACAATGAGATGCTAGCTCATTACCACTAGAAAAGCAATGATCAGAAACAAAACCAAAGTAGCAGAAAAATATACATACCAACAAGAAATAGGAACCCTCACCCATATTGGTAGGAAGTCAAAATCCTATAGCTTCTCTGCAAAACAATTTGGCATTTCCTCAAAAAGTTTCCCACAGATCTACCATATCCCAAACATGGGTACACACATGGAAGTGAAAGCAAGAACACATGAAGAAACAATGTTCATTGCTGCACTTTTCACCACAGCCAAAAGGTGGAAAATATTGACTTATCCATCAACAGATAATAAAATCAAATGCACAAAATGGAATATTGATCAGTTATCAGACATCATATCAGTGGGTGCCCGCTTTACTGACACAATCACTGAAGACAAACATGCGCATAAGCAAATGTGGTGAAGAGAGCTAATGGTGCCCGGATATCAAAAGATATAGCGCCTGGGGTCTTAAAAGCTTTAAGATAAACAAGCGGCCATTCAACTGAGAAGCATCAAAGCCCACATGGAAGAAGCACACCAGAATGTCTGACCACGAGGTGCAGAAGGGACCAGTTATCAGACATCAAAGAACTAAAAATCAGATCAGTGGGTGCCCACCTTCCTGATACGATCACTGAAGACAAAGGTGTGCATAAGCAAAGTGGTGAAGAAAGCTGATGGTGCCTGGCTATCAAAAGATACAGCATCTGGGGTCTTAAAGGCTTGAAGATAAACAAGCGGCCAACTAGCTCAAAAGCAACAAAGCCCACATGGAAGAAGCACACTAGCATGTGTGACCAAGAGCTGTTGAAGGGATCGGGTGTCAGGCATCAAGGAACAAGAAATCATGTCATTGTAAAGGTGGGTGAGTGCTGAGGGGTTGTGGGGAGGAGACGAGCCAATCAGGGTGCAGGGTAGCAACGATGAAACAAGTAACTTTCCTCTAGTTCTTAAATGCTTCTTCCCCTCCACTATCATGATACCAATTCTGCCTTGCAAATCTGGCCAGACCAGAGGATGTACATTGTAAGACAGCAACTGGAAACACAGGGAATCCAGGATAGATGACTTCTTCAGGACCAGTGGTGAGAGGGGTGATGCCTGGAGGGTGAAGGGAATGGGAGGTAGAAGGGGGGAACAAATTACAAGAACCTAAGTATAGCCTCCTCCCTGGGGGATGGACAGCAGAGAAGAAGGCGGAGGGAGATGTCAGAAAGTGTAACATGACAAAACTATAATTATGAATTATGAAGGGTTCATGAGGGAGGGGGGAGTGGGGAGGGAGGGGGGAAATGAGAAACTGATATTAAGGGCTAAAGTAGAAGGCAAATGTTTTGAGAATGATGAGGGCAACAAATGTACATATGTGCTTGACACAATGTATGTATGTATGGACTGTGCACTTCAAATATTGTGCCATTCGTGTACCTCATGAATTTTAATATTAATGATAACGCATATATTTTAATATATTCACGATATACATCATGAATATTAATAATGGAAATATTATATATTTGTGACAGGTATATAAGAAATCGGGAAGAATAAGCAATTTGTCTTTCTCATCTTTATTTAAAATGTATTTGCTGCCAAAATTAACCTAAAAATGACAATTTTATAATGTTGCCAATAAACTACCTTGGGTCCTATGTAGATGTCAGATTCTGAGTTCAGTTAGTATCTTTAGAGCATCTTAAAATAACTTATTTTAAATAGGGTAGAGGGAATGGTTTATTTGAAAACTATTTTCTACCATACTTAAATTCTAATTTTGTCTTTAAAACTCCTCCTATCTGAAGCTTGGATCTGGTATAATAGGATTTTTCTATCAGATTGTTGTGATAGACAAGCATCAGCACTAGTTTGTCTCCAGTCTCCAAAACTGGTTTTCTCCAGTTGGAAAAATAAATAAAGAGGTATTTTCTCCAGTTTTGATTTTATGAATAGAATTTGGTATTTTTTAATTTGGAGTATAATTTGTACTATAAATATTTTTATATTAAAAATATAATCCCTTGTATCTTTATTCTTAGGGAATGCACACAACAATATTTAAGATTAAGAGCCATGATACATTTAGTCTAAACTCAAGTATTTTAATAAACAAATCCTATTCTAAATGACAAAGCACATGGGGCAAAGTGTAAATAGGTGAAAATGAGCAAGTATTCATTACACTATTTATACCATTTCTGTAAATTTAATCGTATTTTCAAAATTCATTTTCTTTAGAACACGTAGGCATTTTTTTTAGGGGGGGGGGGCAAAACTGCAGCAAATACCTCTTTATTTATTTTTCCAAAGCCATGACTTAGGCACTTTTTGTTTGATGAATACTGTCATTTATTATCATTTTGATTGTAAGCTTCTGCATTGAAGTAAATATACCTCATATGTTTAATAGCCCAGCACTAAGCCAAGAGTGATCCCTATATATAAGTACATAGATAAACAAGGTAGCTTCCACAGTTCATGGAAATACTGAATGAAACGATGATGGAATTTTTCATCAACTTTTTTTATGAGCTTTCCATTTATGTATGCATGTATGTGTACATATATTTCATAT